CCATCTGCCTGGCCCCATCCCCAGCATGACGACCCCGCCCTCGATTTGTCGTGGGGCCTCGAAGGGTGCTCTTTGGCCCCCGAGGACGACCCCCAGCGGCCCGTGGCGGTCGTTAGGCGGGTGCGAACTGTGACGGATGAGGTCACCTTCCGTAGGGATTAGTTGCCGAGGGGTTGTGGGGTAGTGGACAGGGACAATAGGATGTCGGCGGGCGTACGGGTCCTTTGGTCCCCAAGTCATTTTAGGATGTTTTTGTTTGAACATTTTTGCAACTTTTTGTTGTATGAACATTTTTTGTAACTTTTTGTTGTTTCAACATTTTTGTAAATTTTTGTTACTTCTGGCGTTGTGTGCGGTGGTTTCAAAGATATGGTAATCGTCACCCGTGGAGGCCTCCCACACATCCCATCCAACAGCGCGCGCTGCAAATCACTGGTATGTTTCCAGACTTTGTCCACCTTCACCATCCCCCGCTTGTCAGTCCAGGAGGCCTGAATACCACTGGTATTCCCAGGTATTATACCAGGCGTCGTGTGGTGTAAATGGACCCTGGAGATTTTTGTGCGGTTCCGCCATCGCGGAACCGCACCAGCCGGTCCCAGGCTGGATATGGACCTTAGAGTGTTTGTGCGCTTCCGCGATGATGCTATCTCCATATTGCGGTTCCTCCATCGCGGAACCGCACTGTCTCCAAAATGCCTCCAAACCTCTTATTTTTCCCTTGTATCCCAAGCCAACCTAATATGTACTATATTGCAGAATTGTCAAAGCACAACTCATATGATATTGGTAGGATGTCAAAGTCAGGAAACACACGTTTGAACCCCATTTTTCACCACATGTAATGGGACATTTTGAACGGAAGGGAGTTAACAATGCGCATTAGTTTCTTTTAGCAATCTTGCACACAGATAGCTGGGATCCCATTTCGACAATTGCAGTCAGACCTGAATCAAGCGTTCTGCCCTGACCACTTTGTTGACCTTCTTGGCCAGCTGTAGCATGTGGGCCTGCGCTTTTTCCATTCTGCATTTCCGCTTCGGCTGCCCCGCTCTTGGCATCGTGCACAATCTAGATACTTTGGGTGTACTCGGTCCAAGATGGATGCAGCCACTCACCACCGCCAGATGTCAAAGGTGCATTTTTGATAACTGGGACCACCCTCTCAACGGTTTCGATGAGCCTGTTGCGCCTACCGTGACGTGGTTCGCTTCTCATATGAGATGATGATGATGCATCATGCCTGACATCCCTCTTGAAAGAGAACAATTGTGTTTCCACACTGCGTGCTCACGCCATCGCCGCTGCCGCGCCCTCCTGCCTTCCGTCTCTTCGTGCCGCTCTCTGCATCTCCCTGTCCTTGGCTCTGCCCGCCTGGCTAGTCTCCCCGCTTGGCTCTTTCGTGCTGCTTCCTGCCCACCACAGGCAATGATTGCATGTTGGAGGATGGCGTTCCAAATTGGTTCGCTGGCACCTGTGTCTCTTGAAGGGCTGTCGGTTCCCTGCAAGGGTGAGCACTTGGCCCCACAATCCTGCCCCGGGCCAGGGTCGGCACCGCTGCCTTTTTTTGCCTGATCTTCCGGCCATTTTTCAAACGCGCCGCGCTGTTGAGCTCACAAAAAGCGTAAGAGTGAGCCGCAAGCACACAAGGAAAGGGGCTCAGGGGGAACAGTGAAGTACCCGCTGGAGGTTTCGCCCTTGGGCGCTTTCTCAAGAGCTCTTGCCGTCCACCATCCACGCCTCGCCCTGAGAGCAGGATTTCTCTCATGACTGTGGTGGGCCAAGAACAGATATCGCCGCCCCCTTACACAATTGTTTATGTCAAGTCTGACACGGCAGCTGCAGAGGACACATGGCCATGGCGTATGCAAGAATGTTCTTGTCCAGCTCTAGGCGGCTGATGATTTTCTGCAAAGATTAGGAGCACAAAATAGCTGCATTTGGAAAGGATCGCCACGCATAGACTTATACATCACCGTCCCCACCAATCTCAAGTTGGATAATTTGTCTCATCGCCAAGTGGGGACAGGAGGGGTGTGTGGGGTGTGGGGGTTGGGGTGTGTATGTGTGGGGCGGTTGTGCAAATTTACAGATTGCAGGTTTTGAACCAATATCGGATGCTGCGAATTTAAGTTGAATAGTCGCTCAACAGATTCCATCAGCGATTTCTGAAAATCTGTCCTTGATTTTTCCCAGATTTGTTGTCTTGAGCCATGTTTTTGGTTGGCTTCCACATTCATCAAGAGACCAACTTGAATGGCGCATTCTCATGAATTTCCCTTTGTGCCATAGTTGGAGTGCCTGTAGCTGATCAGCTCATGAGCTCTGGACCTTCGAACACAACAGCCGTCGCCATTGTTCGCGATATCTATGGACCAAGGGCAAGGTAACTAAGGCGGCCGGGTTGACGACGTCCAGAGCTAGCCCCGCACCAGACATTGCCACCACGCACGCCATGTGGCATCCGTGGCCGAAGCTCGGCCACGTATACATTGTGCAATCGACGGCTGGCGTGGAAGATGCAAAACGCACAAGAGATTTACGCGCTGGACGGAACAGGCACCGAGACTACTGCCAAGGCCACGGAACTAGCGAAAGACCAACGACTGATGATCCAAGATGATCTCGGACACCACGTCCGCTTGATGGGCCAGCCTGAAGTGGGCGAAGCGATGGTAGAGAGGAGGAGAGCAAACAACGTCCTCATGGAGCCATTGAGACCTTCTGGGGTTTCACGGGGCGTGAGGCAAATGAAGCACTGGGGGTGTGGCCAGGACTCGAGGAGCAACGTATGTAGCAAGTCTCATGAAACAATTGAGAATCTGAGGAAGCAGTGGCGATGAGCTGGGTGGAAAGCCATTGTTCCGAACAGACCGTGTAACTCAGTTTTGAGGACACTTTTCTGGTCTACATGAGACTGTCTTGAGCAGAACTTTTTCATTTCTGGCACTGCTTGCAACTTGAGTATCTTGTGTCCAGGGGCTGGCTGCAGACAAAGCACTCCTAATTGCGAACTGCCAGTGTCAGTAATGCGCTTATAAAGCAGCAAGGCTACCCTACTGTGTGGTGGAGCACTACCCTTCAGCAGGACGGGCCTCCCAACTCGCAACCCGCGAATCTGCCAAACCATTTCTGGCACATGCATCGCTCAAGTTACAAATTACACTATGCTCGAATTACCAGTAATTGAACACTGATCTGCCTCCGTCAGCTACTGATTTGTAATCCGGTGATTAAATGGTGGCATATGAGAATCACGTTTCGAGAAGTGCCATCAACAATATCTTTGAAGGACTGTCACCTATCTCGATGTTTCACATGCAACTTTCCAGTTCTCATGACTGGAGGTCGGTGACTGAACACTGATGTGCAGTGAAAGTCAATGAGAAAAGTGATTGCAGATTGAAAAGCCAGCTTAAAGAGATGAAATTCTGACACACCAAGTCAACCGCAGGTGCCGTGTTGCGCAAGCACCTGGTCATGTGCTAGCTCACTGGTGCACACATTGACCTGATTGAGATGGCGGGAGGACGGCTGGCAAACAATCAGCTTCAATCTTGCTAATGTTGGTGGTCATGAGTTGGTACTATGGGTCGGTGCTGTGGGGTAGCGACTTGTGCTTGTGTGAAGTGTGAGTTCAGTCTGCCGTTCTGAGTATGAGTTCTGGTGGGCGAAAACAGAGGTGCATTCTGGTATTTGAAAAGAGACCGAGATTTGTTTGTGGCTTCTCTTGGCTTGGTTGTTAGACAAGCTGAGTCTTGGCTGATTGTCTGACCCTGCATGGCGAGTGCGTCTGAGCACCATGCTCCTGGTGTTCCCGTGCGTTTGGCACCAAGGTTGCCACGGAGGTCGAGCCAAAAAGGTTTGATTTGTGCTGCTTTGTGGTCCATCGCTGCGCACATTCGATTGTGACGATTGAGGCGAGGGGGATCTCGAACCAGGATGGCCAAGGAACTTTGACAGGTGACAAGACATGGAGAGGCCCCAGTCGTCGTCAATCAGCCCCCACCCCGCTCTTCCAAGGAATACAGAACAAGTAATTGGAACAATAAACGGCATGCAATTCTTCATTGACGTACACCACCGTCATTAACCAGAGCCCCTGTGCCGCTCACCAAAACACACGTATGAGATGCCCTACATCAAAAATATGGACGACAGCGAAAGTTCAGATGGGCCTCGCCGCCTCCAAGCCGGCATTTCTACTTGGTCCTTCGCAGAACGGCATGGCCACGTGTGGCATTGCTGATCTTGCTGCTCAGTTCCTCCGCTTGTGATGCTGCCACAGAAATCCTGAGGGTCACCACACCGCCGGCGCCGAACATCTCGTCTAGCCGCTGTGCGTCACACTTCTGCAAGGCAGTGTAGACGGCCCCGAGAGCACCGTATCCCACCTTCAGTTCAATCTCCGCCTGCGAGGGCCACCAATTCAATTCAGCAGAGGCCGCAAATCCCAACATTCTTGAAACGGTTGTCATGGAATTTCTGGCCGTGTGGCGTTCTAGCATCGAAATTTGACACAATGTTTGCACCAGGGGACAGACATTGATGGGTGGATCTGCCCTAACAGGTACGCGATCTGCTCATGAGCGCCAGTTTTCACCGAAGCTGCTCTGTTTTCAGTCCAAGGCCGCTTGTCAATCATTCCCGCACCATCGCACAATCCTATCCGGCGCATCCATGGCCATGCATCTATTTCATCTTTTCTTTGAAAAATCAATCATTACAGGAAGATTGTGCTGACAGATCCAGGCTCCAATGCGGTCTCTTGAACATGTTCTCCGAAATTTCTGCCTGTCTACGTGGAAGCTCAGCTGTGAGCTGTTCACTATCACCGCTGGAAGCTGGACCCTTCATGTGTCAGTCACAGTCCAAAACTAAACCACCAGCAAATTTGACTTTCAAGGATAAGCCAGATGGCGCTGCGATACGTCTGAAACAGCATGAACAGCCTAATGTGGCTGGGTCTCATCTACAGGGAAGCCCTTCTAGACAATTCTGTGAATCCCTATCCAGGAGTGGGACCACTGGCAAATTGGCCATTTGTGCACTTGCATGCACGGTCATATGCTAAAGACCACATAGCCGTGTTTTTGCAGTATTGGTGCGACACTAAAAGGTACCACAATGGTCCAGTGCTGAATTGAAAAATTAGTTAGAAGCTGCTGATACTGCTTCCATTGTTTCGAGCGTTGGATAGTGGCTGCATGGGCTGAGCAGCTGTGAAGCAAAACCTTAGGATTGACGAATTGACGCTGAGCAGCCTTGAGGCACATCCTTGCTGCTCCACCATATGCTCTCGCCAGTCCACCCGCTCCAAGCTTGATGCCGCCAAAGTATCTAGCAATGGAAGGCAACCGTTCATCTGGTGGTATCAAGCATAACTGGCATTCTGGGGCAAGCATCGTGCATCAATTTATGCCCGTCAAGAGCTTGAAGCGAAGTCAGTGTTACTTGTGGCAAATGCAAAGGATTCACAACCATTGAGCTCATCGTATTTCTAACTGCTAACGATCAATTTGGGCCAATTAGTAACAAATAACATTGCTCATTCGGTGGAATTCTTTGTTCGAATATACCAATATGTGTTGTGAATTTCGAAATTTTGAGTTAATACCAATTCGAATTAGATATGGGGTTAGAATTTGGAGTTCAGTGTTCGGTAGTTGATTCAATTTTGCTTCCTGGATGAGGATCACCAGCTGGCCAATATGCAGCACCTGCAATACAACTATGAGGTTACCAACAAGGAAATCCGCAGCCACAAGCTTTCAGGACAGCATTGCGATACTGTGTTTGCACGATCGTGAAAGCTCTGACAACCTAGAGATACTGACGGAGCCAAAAGGACTCCATGGAGCATATCTGTTCCCCAACTTGGATACTGTGCTGGACTTGTTGACTCCAGGATGCCTGAGTTTAGGTGCTGTTCTGGAGACTTTTTCTTTGTGTTTTGGGGTTGCTCAAACTGGGGCTTGAGCATCAGGGTTTCAGAACATTGGTAACAAATGCTGTGGCACTCTGGGGAATCATTGAGCACACCATGGACCACAACGCATAATATTGTTGTTCTCACCCCTACTGACAAATTCAATGCACGAAAGGCTATGTGCATTTCAGTGTTGCTTGTTGAAAATTGGCAGCACTTGAACAATGCTTGAGCTGAGGGCAAAACGAGACAGGCCCGCTTCAATGCAGTATTGAACTTGCATGCACAAGGTCAATCTACAGGCCTCATTCTTGAATCATCAGTACATCAATCAAAACAATGTTGTTTAATGACCTGTGTGGGCCCCAACCTTCGTCAGCCCTGAATTCCCACATTCCAAGAAGGTACAGATAGGCCAGGGATGTGTACAGCAACCAAGGCCCAGATGTCTTGTTCAGATCACAAGTCGAGTTTCAATACAATGAGTTCAATACACTTGTAGAGCAACATGTGGTCAGATGCTGAATCTGTTACACTAAATGGAAGACCTGCTTCTACTAAATTGGTGTAGTAATTCTCCTGGCCCAAGCCTTCAATCAAATTGCTGCACAACAGTGTGAACTGAACAGTGCATAGATTATAGCAAAGGGTTTGCACAATAAACACCAAGTGAACCAACTCACCTTGTGACCATAACACAAAGGTGGCACAGACCCTCGGCTTCCACTGCAGCCAGCATTGGTCGCCCCGCAGTACCACCCGGCTCCCCATCATCAGATGATCGAAACTCGTTGCCAATCTTGTAGGCAAAGCAATTGTGGCTGGCAGATGGATCACCATGCTGCTTGACAAGTGCAAGGGCCTATGGGCGCCAGGAGAAAGTGACAGCTCTCCAGGGGCGAGAAGCACCACCAACACTTCAAGTTCTTTCAGTGCGAATCATTAACAAAAATCAAACTGGGAAAAAGCCATCATGGTTGTACACAGCACCCGACTATGCAGAACAGGTTGCGACTTGCGATGATCTGACCTTGAGCTGTACTTGCTGTCAAGCTGCAGGGGACAGAAAACCAGAGAAGTTTCTACAAAATGATCCCCAAACATGCCCACAGCACTGTGAGATTCAGCCACCGCAATTTCTCCTTTCATCATAGCTTGGCCACCAGAATCATTGTTGCCTATGCAATCTCCGATGCATTTTCCACATTAAACAAGTGCCTCATCGTGTGTCATGGCAATTACTGTGCGATCCTTGTACAATGGGATACAATCACTGTAACATCGATGCATGCAACCTGCTACTGTCCTTGCGCAATGCCAGTATGCAATCTGCCGTGGAATGTGGGTATGACATCTCACGTTGCAGTGGCATTATGCCTTGATGCTCCTTCATCAGGAGAGGATGATGGCAGAATCCGGCTAATGACTATTCGAGGTTTATGAGCGAATGGACGCAATGCCCAGTTAAGGGAGGACTCTTGGTCCAATGCGCTGTGTCCTCCCACAGACAACAACACTGGACAGAGCTACTGTCTTGGCAATTGTTCTTTCTTGTGATGCTGGAATGTTTCAACAGAAAACAGAATGCATTTGAAAGCCAACCGGTCTGGTGGCTGCCCATTGAAAAACCAAACACTCCACAATGTTGTCTTTCGCTTACTTCCTTTTAACTTATTTCATTCATAAATTCACTAATTCATCTATATATCTTGTTGACGATCTGTTATCTTGCTGACAATTGCAGGTTATTGCCAAGGCCACAAAACAGTCCATGGTTGCCCCGATGGTGCAATGGCAGCAAAAGGTACATTTCCATGAATATTGATCGGACCGATTATGTGTATCCCTCCAGGCATATTTGCTGTTGTCACAGCACTAGTTCTATGCCAGCATGGACAAAAGATGCTTCCTCTGGTGCTTGCAAATCGCTGGGTTGCATTCGTTCATCTGCTGAAGCAAGTCCAAGGAACGAACAAAGGCATGGCTTGGATCACTGTGCAATAACACAATTCTGGTGAAATGAGTATGTTTGTCCTGCAACCAAGGCAATCGACTGAGAACTGAACAGTAGTCTAGGTCTGAACAAGGTGGCGAAGAGCTGGACCAGGTGTTCCTGAATTGTTCTATTTGCTTTCTTTTGCCAGCATTCCATTGCATGGCCTGGGTAGTGTGCCACAACACATTTTGGACAGAGGCTCACCTCTTGGGAACTGTCAACTGGCCAGGCAGTCGCAATGAATTTGCTCTTCTTCACCATGAGCTCACACGAATGCTGACCACTGAGCGTCCAGTACCTAAGCAACAAACGACTTTCACTGCAGCATTGCCTGCTGTGCAAGCAGAGCATTCCCATTTGGTTTAACCTCCATCTGACAGGCTACCCCTATCCATCAACACCCAGACTGCCGAACTTTTGTTCTCTGAGATTGTGCATTCATCAAATTCCATGGGATGAGAGCAGGTATTGGGCGTTTCGAGAATTGTGAAGATGGGGCGGACAGTGTTGCTGTCCATTGTCGAGCATCCAGGCTTTTTGATGTAGTGGCATGATGTCTTGTCTTGGACTCGGAAAATTGGTATCGCTGCAATGGTGAAAATGCCGTACTTTGCCAATTTCTGCTGATTGAAAGAATGGCAGGGCAGCATGGGCACCATTTGCCAAGCATTGCGACGTCCTTGCAATTTCCAAGGAACCTTCAAACCAAAATTTCAGCAGCCCCACCTGTCCTACCCGTCTCCTCCCGCACCAGATGCCGCGGCGCCTGCTCCCACGCAACGCTGCCCCTCCGCGCGTGGCCTCCCGCGCTGTGACAGCGTCCACAGGGCGGCGGGACGACACAGGCGGCGCGGGAGGCGCCCCAGGGCCTCGGCGGGAATCAGCACGCCCATGAGCGCCGCGGTGGGCAATGGGCGCCCAAATTGCGTGGGAGGTGGGTGTGATGCCGCTGGGGCATCCCCGGCAGGGCGGCACGCTTGTCCGCCGCGAACCCTCCGTCGATGAGGCCGCTTCACCAAACTGTATCTCCGCGCGTGCCCGGAAGTTTGTGCCTCTTGCCAACCAGTCCAACGCCACACGCCCAAGGCGCAAACGACGCACGTAGTCGGGCCTCTGCTGGAAAATCGATGAACATATTCCTTTCCCATCCAGACGGAGGGCAGAAAATAAGGCCGAGAAACGGCCCCGTCAAACAGAACAAGAATGGGGAACTTTCCCGACAGCTTCCCGACAAATTACTGTGCACAGGCGAACACGATTATGCCAGTACGAGCACTAGTTTATGCCAGTAGTAGTGTACTATACTAGTACTGCACAAGATTATTTTGGCAAGCCAACAGCACGCGCAGGAAAGTTTCGCAACCTTCCGCGCCCGGACTGAAACCCTGGATACGTCGCATACGGTGGCTGGCCCTCGGCGCCAAGGAAGGCAGAAAAAAGGCCTAAAAATGCGGTAAAACGGAGCAAAAATCGGGAAAGAAAACCACAACAAGCCAACAGCACGCGCCGGAAAGTTTCGGAACCTTCCGCGCCCGGACTGAACCCCCTGGATACGTCGCATACGATCACCGGGCCCCGGTGCCAAGGGCGCCCACCACCCCGCGAAGGATTCGCGCTGGCTGCGGAGCATCCACGCCCGCCCCTCCCCCCCACACACACCCGACGTCCACGTCCCCAGGCCGCCCTTTCCCCTCCCTCCCACCCCCTCTTCCTCACCGCCGCGCATCTCCGGGCTGCTCCCGGCTCGCCGTTTAGATCAATCTGCGCCCTTCCGCGCCGCGTGGTGGGAATCCCCCTGCGGGGTGCGGGCCAAGGATGGCCGAAATAACGATCGTGGTGAAGCCCGCGGCCGGCGGCGACAAGGTGTCCGTGACGACCGGCCTGGGCGCCACGGTGGCGGAACTCAAGGAGGAGGTGGGGAAGAAGTGCGGCGTGCCGGCGGCCGAGCAGCGGCTGATTTACAAGGGGCAGATCCTGCGCGACGAGCGGACGATCGAGAGCTACGGTGAGGGGTGGGGAACGGCCGAGATTTGTGAAACCTGGGGTGCCCCTGGTCGCTTTGAAGCCGCGGTCGAGGGGGTACAAGCGCTTGGCTAGGGGCTGGATAATTTGATTAGGTTGGTGGCATGACAATGGGGCCTTGGGTCGAGAGGGGAAGAGAGATGTTGCTGACCTGAGCTGCGTTTGGTCCCTGAAAGTGGGTCAGTCTCTCGCGGGGTGCCGTGTGCTGACTTTTGGTTGTTCTGTGGGCGCGGGGCAGGCGTGGGCGACGAGCATGTCCTTCACATGGTTCGGAAACATCCGCAGCCCACGGGGGGCAGGTGCGCCGGCGGGCTGCCTCGCCTCAGGGATCAGCGCCCCCCAGCGGCGGCTCTGCGGGGGCCCTGGCTTAGCGGGCCCGGGGCGGAGCGGATCTGAATTGGCAAATGAATGCCGGGGCCAGTTTTAGCCCCCTGGTGTTGGAGGCCGGCGACTGATGCGGTACCTGTGCCGTTGCGCGTTGCAGTGGTGCCGCGAGTCAAGCAGCCGCGGCGGCCGCTCCCACGAGCAGCCCGCCTCTCGGGAGCCTCTTCGGCCTGGTGGGTGCAGGTCACGCGACGCCTGGCGCGCGTCAATCCTCGATTGTTGAGTTGGCAGAAATCATGGCAGAGCGCTGCCGGGCGCCTGACAGGGGATGCCGGGCATGGAAACAGATTGTGTGCCCGATTTTTCCCGGCTGGAGCGTGTGAATGCGTTCCCTGTGGTTTGGCAGCAAGGAGCAAGTGGTGTCCTTGCAAGCAGGGGCCAGAGTGGCTATGGCCACACGTTTGAGTGTTTGTGACATGGGAGTTCGTAGTTCCATGCTGCACCCACAGAACGGGTGGGGCGTCTGGCGCTTGGGTAGTTGTGACTTGAGGAGGGCCACAGGCACGCTGTTCCTCACTTTGACTCAAGGGAGGCATTGCACTCACATTCAGCTTGTGTTCACTGGCCTGCCTCCAGTGCACAATGCAGTTTGTCACAGAGGTGAAAAAGCTGTGCTGGAGAAGTGGGGTGATAAGGGCAAATTGGAAATGTGCGACAACAGACACAAGTGCAGGGGAAGCCACCGCAACTGTGTCCCATGAATTGTTGTTGTCTGTTGATCATTCCAAGTACTGTTGCTGGATGTCAGCATACACTGTGACTCGAGTCATTTCTGGATCGAACTAGTGATCCTGTTGTTCACGTGGTATCGCAAGGAAATGTGATTTGTTGGATGCTCAGCCATTGGAGGGCAGTCTGCTGAACCTGTTTGGCTTGCACCGCAGGGTGCAGGTGCTCCCACTGCACAACAGGCTGGTGAGATGTTCAACAACCCATTCATGCAGTCACTCCTCAGCAACCCAGAGTTCCTCCAGAACCTGCTGAGGAGTAATCCAGCCATCAGAGAGGTAGGGCATCCGGGAGAAAGGTGCTTGTGCATAGTTCACTTTTAAGCCACCTTGCATTGTTTAAGTTCTGCTGATGATGGGCATGCAGAAAGCCCCGCCTGTGATGTCAATTGCATATTTTGTTGCTCTGCGATTATAAATAGAAAAGGATTGGCTTTCTCCACTCAGGTGCTGCTATTTCTTGCCAAAGTCATCAGTGGTTTCTGTTCTTGCCTGTGTGAGCCTGTGCTTGCCCAGGAAGTCAAAGATGCAAGAATGTGTGTGTAGGCGAGTTAAATAGAGACTCCAACAACCGGCAATTGCTGCTATTTGCTGAATGGTGTTGAATGCTGTGTCAGCAGAGCAGGCATACACTGTGCACTGACCATACTCCTCACAGCACAATTCGCAGAACTGTGTGCGATTATCTGTTGTTCAGCAGCTGTAATTGGCATAAGCGTGGAGTGACGTTGCCATTTGCTGTGCGTGCTTGGCCTTTGCAGATTATTGATCGCAACCCTGAGCTGGCACACGTGCTCAACAACCCGGAGGTTCTGCGGGAGTACCTCCAACTGGCCTCCAATCCTGTGAGCATTGAAATACATTGAAGTCTCTTTATCACATGGAGCGTACTGTGAAATTTCTGCTTGCTGTCTGCCCACATGCACGATTGAAATTGCAGCACTCTTTTATGACCTGGTGATGAGTGAATATGTTCACAGGACTGATTTTATGGTGTATGGCGGCCAAGTGATTTTTGTGTCCGAGGCACAGAATCTGAGATTGGCCCAGCCCCCAGACACCCCAGTGCAGCACCAGCGTAAAGTGTCCAAGTGGCCAACCTATTTTCCTTGCGAAAGTATTGGGAAGGACACATATCTTTCCAGTGCAACACTGATGGGGCACCTGCATTTCAGTACCCAGCATGGGTGGGTTTGTGGTCCAGAGGTGTTCACTTCAAAGGAGCAAGGGAAATTTCCATTTTAATGGCAATGCAGTTGAAGAGCAGTAACATGGGGAATCGTGGCCCTGTTGAATCAGATTCCTTGTTCCAAAACTTGCCTCACTGGACACGGTGGCTGGTGCCTTTGTCTGCACGCCTTTGTACCTGCTTCATGGCAGAAATGGCATGACTGCATTCTCTCCTGCTTTGAACTTGAATCTCCTTCCATATCCACCATCCTTTTGGTTGAAGTGAGTCTAGGCGCACATGCGATGATGAGGGATGGAATTCCAGCAACAGTGTTCTAGAAGTTAGCATGGCCTTGGTGTGGTTCCTCCTGCATGCTTGGTGCACAGGTGACCCACCTTGCTTACTCCCCAGCAGGTGGGTCATTGCTTGGTCCAGATGGAGCCCCACGACTGTGCTTGCTCATGTGTACAACTTTTACGCTGCAGAACCTGATGCAAGAGCACATACGGAATGCTGACAGGGCCTTGAGCAACCTGGAGTCTCTGCCAGAGGGCTTCAACACGTTAAGGCGAATATATGAGAGTGTGCAGGTCTGTTGCAAAGTGGTTGCTGCAATTGCTGGCCAATGGGTACTTTCACTTTCTGCCTAATGTTATCTCTGATGCAAGGCATCCATACAAATGAAACATTAAGGTTCTCTGTCCAGAAATGCAATGCAATGCCACAGACTTGTGTGCCAGCAATCACCACCCCTTTGGGCCAGAAGTTATGCACCTCGAAATGCATGACAGGAGATGTTCCCCAATTGGCGGTTGCTACTGCCATGGTGGACATGGCATGTACTTGCCTTGATTAGCGCTCGCCTATGAGAATAGTTGACAGGCCTGCATTTGTGTACAAGCAGAGTCGTTTAGTGACTTGAATTCTTTCATGCAGATCAAATCTATCAGGCTGTGTTTGTCCCCTGTCGTCTTTCCTTGGTAGTCAACTGATGCATCTGGACCTTGTCGGCTGTGGGATGTCAAGTTGTCAATTTCTGCTGAAGGGCATTGCATTGCAATGTACCAAAGAGGAGCGAAATGTCTACAAGCCATTGGGTACCAATATCACAACCAATGTGCAGAATCCAAGTTGAACCTAAGTCCAATCATCTCTGGAAAGCTTGGGCATGTGTGCATGCCTGTGTGACCTCCAGTTGGCAGAGTCCGCCTATCCCATCGCTTGGCTGCCTCTGTGTTCTCTTTTGCCAGCAATTGCAGTTGTGTCCAACTATCTTCACAGTTTCCCTGGGAATCATCACTTGTCAGTGCCTTATTTGGCACATGTGTAATGCTTTGTGCCAACTGATCTGGTAGCAATAATTTTATTGCAATGCCTGGAGCCAACTCGAAGTTGGATTGTGTTTTCCCAGTCAGACCCTGCCAAACGAGCCAGGTGTGAGAACTGGTGTTCAATGGTATTCTGGCAGTTCTTTCATTCCTTCTACTGTTGCTTACACCATTGATGACATTCTACGTGCATGACAGTTGCTCCAACAAGACAGTTCATCAATATGACAATCCTGTTGCAACCAGCAGGTGGTGTTCAATGTGCTGTCCACACCCATGGATGTCTGTTGCCATTCTTTTTTCCCTTCTTGCCAGATTCCAAAACACTTCACCGCGTGAAAGATCCCAGTTGGATGTAAAATTTTGGAAAAAAAAACCTGTTCTTGGCCCTGTCTGCCACCCAGCAACCCTGAGCGCTGTTGGTGTGGTGACTTACAGGAACCCTTGATGAACGCTACCACGGCAAGTGCAGACAACCAAGCAAACCCCTTCTCTGCCCTGTTCTCTGGGTCAGCCCCCACGACCACGGGAAGCGAGGGCGGAGGTGCTGCTCCTGAGTCGGACAGCACAAGCCAAGCACCGAACACTGCCCCACTCCCAAACCCATGGGCACCTGCGGCACCTGCGGCGCCTGCGGCTGCGACCCCAGCGAGCACACCCACTGCGGGAGCAACTGGGACGAGAGGGGCGGATCAAACTCCGGGTGCTGGAGGGGGCACATTGCCGTTGCCAGGGATGCTGCCGGGCATGGGCGCAGGTGAGTGTGGCTGTTGTGTTTTGTTGACATGCAGTTTCTGGTTTGAGAATTTGCAGTGGATCTGGAGAGGCGGAGGCGCCTCATCCTATTTGTGGGATGCAGGTCTTTGGTAGCTTGTAGTGTCCTGTATTCTGTGTTTAGTATGTAGACTGCTGCGTGCTGTGTCCGAAAATGATGTTCTTGTCAAGTTTGGCCTCTGTGGCTGCTGCGGCGATCTGGAGTACAGCGTGTGCAACAGCAGAGCAGAAAAAACAAGGTACAAAGCACTGTATGTGAAAACACATACAGGAGAATGCCTTGGTGAATGCAAAGAAAGTTGCCAGGCATGACAAGAACCCAGAAAAAACATCAAGAACAAGATGTGGGGGATTGCCAAAGGCAAGTGCATGTTGGATGTGCTGTCTCTGTCAAGCCTTCCCCTTGAAATTTGGTGTCTACTGGAGTGAATGAAGTGGTCCCCTTGTGGCTGCTCATCTGATTGATACACGGGGAAGTGACTTGTTGCAGTGCAAGGTGAATTCATGCATGTGGATTTGTGGCCACCCTGAAGCTCTTGTGTTCATGTCTAGGAGGTGCCCCTGACATGGCAAGCCTCATGCAGGCCATCAACAACCCAGCGGTGCAGCAAATGATGCAGTCAATGTTGTCAACTCCTGGCATGATGGAGTCGCTGATTAATTCTGTCCCTGGGCTGAGGCAAGCTGCAGAGCAGAACCCGGAAATGAGGTGATTGGTGCTTCTTGTGTGCCAATTCTATCTGGTGTCTGACATCATGTTTACGAACATAGCGCTGCAGCTGGTTTTGTTGTTGCCAGCCATGTTGAATGGGTGAGGGTGGGTTCTTGGTATTTATTTTTTTGGCGTTAAGCCTCTGCTCTGCAGCAGGAGAATGTGGGTATTCAAAGGGGAACAGAAACTGTATATAGGCCCATGTCAGACAGTCTTTGTGCATTGTGCAGTGATCAGCGGGAATCTGCTAGACGATCCCACTCTGTATTGAGCTAGTTTACAAGCAGATTAGAGAAGTATCTTTACTGTGTTTCCACATGTTGAAGGTAGCTTCAACAATGCATTCCAATGGGTACAAAATAGATGTAATTCACGTCATGGTGCCTACATTGTATTCTCTTGCCAGAAAATGCACTTCTACACAGGACACACTTCTGTTTGGGCGCTTTGCCATTGTCAAACTGGGTGTGGCCATGTGAACCACCCATTTTGCATCTTGTGGTCGTTTGGCTTCCTGCTGGCTTGGGTGGATGTGAATGGGGGTGCCGCTTCCCATGCTGTTCTCTTTGTCACTCATGTTAGGTTTGTGCATGTGCTGCAGGGAAGCTTTCTCCAACCCTGAGATGCTGTCGACGATGTTTGACCCACAAAACATTCAGGCCATGATGCAGATACAACAGGCAATGCAACAACTGCAGGTTAGATCCCCACACCACCCCAAACAACTCGACCCCAAAAGAAGGAAATTTGGATGCCCTAATAAACGTGTATTTTGCAGCTCATATGAACCTTATTGACCCTGACAAAGTGAAGAATTGAGGTGGTTGCCTCTTTGTAGACACCACATGCGCAAGTGGTCTGTTCCACCAACGGATCAGCAACCTGCCCGACTGCAGTTCCTTTTGGAGGGATGTCCGAGAACATGCAAGCTGCCTTTCCTGCAGAATCGAGAGTTCCGACTCTGGGGAATTAAACAACGCTGTGAAACGAGCAGCGTTGAAGGAATTGTGTGGGCCAGCCCCTCGTGGGTGGTATGGCAGTGTTTGTCGTGCTGGCAAGTGTAGTAAACTACCAGATTGGCAACAAATTGTTCTGTTGGCTCAGAGAGTTGTCAAACGGGATGTCAAATTGATGTTCAACTCAAAGGGTATCAGAATGTGTTGTTACTCTGCCACTGGTGAGCAAGTGTAACTGGCATTGTTCTGCCATGTGGGGAATGTGAGGAAGAGAAGTTCAGTTTGGATTGCATGCTATTTTCCTATTTTAGAATATCATATTGCATTCAAGACTCCGGGTGCCACCTCTGTTCTAATGCGATATGACTGCCTGCTTGCTGCAGAGTTCAGGGCTGGGCAGCATGATGGGCCTTCCAGATGCAGGCGCCACACCCCTGAGCGGCGCCGCAGGCGCTAATGCAACGTCTGGCCTGGCCCAGCTGCTAGCAGGGGGCATGGGCGGAATGGGCGGAATGGCGGGCATGGGCGTGCCGCCCGTTGCTGACCCTGAAGCGACGTACGGCCCACAGCTGCAGCAGCTGCAGGACATGGGCTTCAGCGATCGGCCAGCCAACATCCGAGCACTGCAGGCCACGGGTGGTAACGTGCATGCCGCTGTGGAGCGGCTGCTCTCTGGGTTGTGAGTGAACCTGCAGGCCCCGCTGCATTCTGCTCAGGGTCGAGGTGGCTGTGCGGCTGCCGGCCAAGAGTTGACACTGGGAGCTGATGCTGTGACACAAACATGATTGCAGGCTGCGCTGCCAGAGGGCTTTGCTGTTGGGGCTGTGGGTGTGTGGTCTTTGGCCGTTTAGTGGTAGAGGTGGGAACGGGTTGGCAGGTTGCTGGCGAGGCGATGGCGGCATTTTCTGATGTTCAGGAGCCATACTTGGGCCCAGTGTTGTCATGAGATTTTCAGAGGTCTGTGTTGCCCCTGATGGTGCGCTTAAATGCTGTTTGTCACCGGCACAGCAGTGGCATCTGTCACGGCTTCGAAATTTCAGGATTTGTGTCGCTTGGAAATGGCCTTTGTGCATTGATGGAGAGATCTGAGTGCATGAATTGCTTTGCTCTTCAGCCCACGGCGGACTTGAGGAGTGGAGAGACGGGCGTAGCTCTTCCTTTTGGGCTGCAGCCCCCTCCAGGCCTCCCTCGATTTCTGAACGAAGATAGAGTGTTGCAGCCGATGTTCGTTGCAACTTCGAATAGACGAATTCCTTCAGTACTTTTCCTCTCGAATTTCGGACGCTGGTGCTGTGGCTCGGCCCGCAAGATGCCCACGGCGTGGCCTTGGTGGAGGGCTTGGACCAGCGCCGTTTTGATTCGACTGTTGACGGGGTGGGACGGGGTGTCTTGGGGCCAGCGCCCTATTATCCCCCGGCAGCGGTTCGGGAGTTCTGTTAAACACACACCCGATGGAGTGGTGCTGCGTGACTCCAAACGTGATGTGATATTGCAGAAACGGAAGACAAACGCACTGCGCGACTGCATGTCCTCATCCCTGGCTTGCGAATCTCCGATGCGTCCCTTGCACCAAAAACTTGTCCCCCAGCACCAGGATCAGCGTTGTAAAGGAATGTGACAGATCAAGAATCCAATTCTGGCAAGATCCGAGAGCATCCTGTGTGTGTCGTGGCTTGTGCTGCGAACTGCTTGATATTGGGTCGCCTTCATAATGCTGGAGCTGGAGCTGGATTACATAAAGAACATGTGCATTAAAATGCAATCAAAATATCCATTTCCTCCGTTCCATATTTAATGGCCTATATTTGAGACAATTCCAAGGAGGCCTCAAAATTGCAAAAGAATGTGAGAATCGGAAAGGTTGGGTCCCACAACCCTCAACTACCAATTTTCAAAAGTGGGCATCCACCCCTTCCAGCGTTGCGCGAAATGAAACTTCGGTCATTTTGAGCGAAAAGTTCGACGTTTACTATGGGAAGGACGCTTGCTACAAGTGTCTGCCAAACCCACAATACTTAAGGGATTGACTTGATTTTCTAATCACGTTCTCCAAGCTCACAAACACAGCTGTGAACGGAATTTCATTAAAAAGGAAGCTGCTTTGATATAGAAAATATGCGCCAAAAACAGAGGACGTTCAATATGGGGCGTAGGAAGTATTATACATACAATTGTGCGTGCTGTTGTACATTGCAGGGGGCCACATTTGTTCAATACACAAGGATGACAACGCCATCGCTCCTGGAGGCTATGAAGGCCATGGAAGCATCCAACAAGCGTTGGTCAAGAACGCCACATCAGTTGATGGTGATCCTGTCAAGACTTCTGCAACACCCTTCAGGGCGTCTCCCTCTAGAACAGGGCTTCCATTCAGATTCTTTTTCAGATTTTCGCATTTGAAAACAAAATACACTCCCCAACGAAATTCTGAATGAAATCCTTGTTCTTGAGAGAGATCGCCACTGTGTGGTATGCTGGCTTCTTGAGATAGCCTTCACAGCAACAGCACCCACCAAAGGTGGGCAACAGCTGATTGGTGGTCTGAGGTCAGAGGTGTTGCACAGTATTTGTTTCATCCAACAGCATGCATGTACAGCGATCCACATGGCAGCGAAGAGACACATTCTGCCGTCAGGGATGGCATCAAGTACAGCGCGCGAGAATTTCGTCCATCTCTGCAGCAAGTCCAGTCAATCAACCAGGGGCCAAACCAAGATTCCCCCCTCCCCTTCCTCTGTCCTGCCACACGCAGCCAGCCTTCTCCACTTGCTGTGATGCCACTCTGCACACATCTATCCACACAGATCCACATTCCTGCCGCTCAGGCGCCTGCACGCACTGCACAGTCACGAGGCACATGTTGAGGCATGGCAGCTTGACGGCACCCGACGACCTGGCCAGTTCGATGTCCATGCTGGCCCTGCACCAGCCCATGACCCTGGCCCTCTTTCTTGCAACCTTTCTTCCTTCACAGCGTCTGCATCTCACTTGCTTTTCTTTCGTCCTTAAGCTTGACTCTTCTGCATGGCATCTGCACATCAGGGAGTTGCTCCATGCCTTCCCCCTCCCCCCGCGGCACCTTGCTTTTCATCAAATCTCGCGCCCACTACGTCCTCGCCCTCGCGCACTCATCCACACCATTGAAACTGGTCTTCAGAGAGTGTTGTGTACATCTTCCCCTCATTGGAGAGGTGGAGGAGGGCGTTCCTCACGTCTTGGGCCGAGTACTGCCCCTTGAGCCGTTGCATCACCTGCCAGAGGGCAACGATCTTTCAGTCAGAATGGCTGTGCCCCATGACTTGAGCTGGGGAGCTGACAGTACATGGTGCCCAACATTGGGTTGTTTGGTGGCCTACAGGGGCCAAACTTTGACCTCAAACACAAATTTTGAACTGTTTACGAAACACACTGATTGATGCAAGAACACTGTGTCGCATTGCATATCACGCTGTTGGATGAGCCAATCCTGGGACACGCGACTTGAATATGCACTGTTCCATGCGATGCATACAGGAATATTGGTAAAGTCTGGCACGGCTTCCTTGAGCCTGGAGATTGGAAACCTGGCGTGGGTGGGCCCCTGCCAAACTACTAGACACCAACAATCTGAAAAAAGCTGGCTGATTGCCGATGACGGGACAATCATGTTGTCAATAACGCCTTGAGAGAGTGCAAGATTGATGTTTCCCGTTGATTGCACAAGATTGGCAAACATTATATCAGCTAAGGCACTAAGCATTGGAAGGCAATCAATTTCAATTTTCTTGCCATAGATATGGTTGCTTTTTCGATCTTGCCAAATTTCGAAAGCAACTCCCTCTCTTTCCTATGACCACAGTTCGTATCGAGATGGCCAGTGACTGAACAAAACGGTTGGTTGAGGGACAAGAAAACGAGCTGGATGTGTTCCTGTACATTAACACCTGCAAGGTGCAAGGACTCTGCTTTGTCTTGCAATGGCAATTCTGGAGCAAGCAACTTAGCAGCTTGATGTGTCTCACTTGTGTCCAAAAGAATGTGATGAGCAGCAGCAACCACAACTCCACAGCCAAACCACTACAACTCCATTTTGATAAACTACAATTCCAAAATATACCACATCATTGCCAACTAAAACTCCTTTTCCTGATGGCTATCAAGCCAAGGTGTGCTGCAGCACAAACAGGAGTCTCTGTCACCTGTTTTGGTGCCAGGCGTCTCTCTTCTATCTGTTTCCTTAAGTTCTCGATTCTTTTGGGCACCCATTTGCTTCCAGACAGGTACTTGACCACAGACAGGCTTTTGGAGCATCGCACTGTGCTTGCATTTCATTGCCCCATACTGAGAGCTTGGTGGCAGAGCTTGCCCTGTCATGCTGTGACAGGAATGCAATCATGGGAATTTGAAACACAGCAGTTGCTCCACACCTCGTTGATGTGCAGCCCCTCGTCCTTCCGCCTGACTTCCTCTGTTGTGAAAATAGACGCGAGCTCTCTTTGCAGCGGGGTCGAAAATTCGGCTCCCGCCCCTGCGCCAACGGGAGGGGGCCCTCCCCCATAACCCCTGCCATAGACCCCGCCGCCTACAGCCCCACCCACTGGGGTTGCCCCTGCCTGCAAGCCACCATTGTGACCCAGTGGGAAATGAAATGTACACATGGTGATTGGTGGGGCAGATGGTGGCAAAGCAGTGGCACAGGGGCAGGCATGCTAAGCTCAAATACCCATGGCACGCCAGGCCAGCAAACTCGCTCAAATGGCTCAGGAAACTGCGATTCTGCCACAAAGAGCTACGAGCACCTGCAGTCCTCTCACAGCAAGCAGATACAGTTGAGGCTGACATCGGTCAGAAGGTCAATGGGTGGCACTTTATCGAATCCTGACAACCTTGTATGCTGATTTAGCCATCCGCTGGAACAATCTGATGGGCTAGGCTGGATTCTTGCTTTGGAGGCAAGCGAGTTGTGGCTTCAACAGGACTGTTCGCTTTTTGGGCCTGGTTCTTTACCGCCCCTCCCCTTATAAAGAAGAGATCAGCAACAGAGCCTCATTGAGGCACTCACCCCATTGGGCGGAGGCCCGTTCACGAAGCCCAGGTGCTGATGTATGACCTTGAGGAAATGGTATGTCACCTGCAGAGCACTCAAATTCAAAACAGGAATCTTGGTACACAGGGCCGCTGCAAGTGCTTCTCCACAAATGGCAGTGCTGTTGTCATTCAGGCATACTTGCACCACTAGCTGTCTCACAGACACTGCCATTGTCACATAGACTACATACGCATTCCAATATCATGCAGCGTGCTTCCAGCATCCATGAGGTCAGCCATGTCTGCCGATAAAAGAACATCCAGTGCATTGCATTGTTGCTCTTAGAATTTTACACCGGCTTTGATGCTTGCCATCAATGTGGATTTCAAGCTCTGGCATAAGGTGGTTCTTGTCTTGGTATGTCTGGGAACCCAAACAAATGCCCCCACATGAGCTTCAGTGCCATCTCTGGATTGTTTGGTCAGCCTGAATACCCATCACCTGGACAGGCTGCCAGATTACCTGCGTGCTCACCTGGTCTGACTTTAGGATCTTGCAGGCAACAAGTTACACAGCCAGTTTGGACAACACAGCACAGCTGGCGACATCGACCTTTACCTGGTGGTGAGTGCCTGGGTAGGATTAGTCAAGGCTGTTGATTGTCGCCAAAGCAGTTTGCACAAATTATCCACCAAACTTCAACTCCAAATCCCAAATGAACATACCACTGAAATGAAAGTGCAAATGGACTTGTGCCCACCTCGTCGTACTCAAGGACAGGCTTCACAATGAAGGCAGCGATGGACTTCTTGCCGTCGAAGTCTCGCACATGTCCATACACTCGCACATACTTTGAAACTTGCAGCAGAGCCCTATCGTCCTGCATCTGTGCAAAACACAGACCGACGCCAGTTTTAGAGAGGATCTGATAGCTGCAAGTCTCTTTTTTCTGGCATGCATTTTCTACTTTTTACTCGGCTTTTGTTACTTTTCCAAGCCCTTCATAATGTGATGTTCTCCCAGGACAACGAAGCAGAGTGGCACAGGCAAGCTCTTCCTTGGCCAGTCCTTTGGCACAAAACCCACCAGGTCATCGTCACTGTCAGTCCAGTACTTGACTTGGCACACTCCTGTGCCATCATCAACCTTGTAGAGGATGTGGCTCTGCTGTGTCTGGATATCCATTATCTGCCCCACAAGCGTTACCTGCATCACACACTCTCCTTTAGACAAATTGAGTAGAGAAACAGAGATTGCCTCAAACAATACTGTTGCTGCTTCAGGGTGAGCGTCTCCATATCCCAAACCACAATGTCCCTAGACCATATGCAGAAGCAACAAATGTCAACACATTAAAGTAAAATCACTGCCCATAAGTTACAGGCCGACGCTTGGGTGTTCGATGTGACATGTAATGAACCTGGAGATCGCTCACATTTTGGATGGGGGCTCCATCGACAACAAAGTTGTCATCGTCTACACCCTTGATGGCCTGCAGGCAGCATTGAAGATGTTGAGAGAGCTTGCATCGCCAGATGCCACAACAACCAGACAGCGACGTAATGTCAGCGTGAAATGGGCTTCTTAGTATCACTGTATAGCAGTGGCAGGGAGGCTGTAATTGCATCATCAATATACGTGTGGAGCTAGGCCCCACCGTTGGTGGGCCACCAAGCCTCCTCCCCAACCGACTTTTCCAGTCTGTGGGCAACAGAGGCAGATGCGAAAGTAAAGAAAATCCACAGAGTCTTCAAGCAGTCATGATCGTGTCATAATTGTTGTGCTCTCCCAGGTGCACACAGAAGACGTTTGCATCAATTCCATTCGAGAATCACTGCAGGGGACTACAACTGCAGCCATGTGGAATTTAATGGCATTTGCATCAACACTTTCAACACAAACCTTTTGCACAAACACAATTGTGCATGGGCACACTGAGGCTCGTTGTACTCAACACTGATGGTCTGCAGTGCCCTACTGTTCTTCAATATTCCAGCATATGGCATAACATTGGAGAGGTTGCAGTTGTTGCTGCTTTCCTGAATGGATGGCAGGGAAGTTACCAACCAATGACAAATTTTTTATCTCTGTGCCATGCTGCAACATCATCAACAAGTGTATAAGCTGGAATCACAATCCCTTTACACATCCAACATTTCTACTCCATCATACAACCAACCAGTCAGCCACGTACAGGTGTGTGCCTTCGATTCAACCTATAGTCTGACAGTAATGAATGCAAGTATTCAACACAAGAGTATTCTCACCTCTGCCAGTTGTCGGACAGTAACTGCACGCAGAGTCTGGTCACTTGTCGTTCTCTGCAGGGCCAGCATCATCAATGTGTGACAATGAATCAAAGTCAACAAGCTCCAAAAGAAAAACCAACAGATGGCAAGCAAGAAAATCTGTTTCCAAAAAGAGCACGTGCAGGCAAATAGGGGACACAATCACAGCATGCTGCTCATCTGAAGCACATAAAAGCTGGCGACATTTTGGGCTGTTGTCTCCATCAGAACTGTAGCATGACTTGCAGAGGCGATGCTCACCGTTCTTGCCCCCATGGGTGAAGGTTCCCCTGATTGCCTGCAGCCACAATGCACAGCATGTTGGCAATGGGATCGCTTCTTCTAAATGGAAGTTGGGGGCAAAAAGAGCATCACAAACAGGAACAACCAGCACCAAGCAAAGGCATCCTGTTCTGTATTTGGCCGGAAACATGCGATCAAGAGCTCATACACTGAGGACAAAGAAAGCTACAAAGAGCAAGCACACATGACTGGGGAGCCCGCCAGGGGAGGGGGAGAGGACAGCTGGGATACTCACGTTGCTGGCATGAAGCCGCCACCAGCAAACTGGCTCGGGCCCATGTTGTATGCTGCCATGTTTCCTACAGCCTGCAACACGGAGGCGCAGCAGGTCGGTGACATCAAACGCCAGACACAGCACTGCCAGAACAAACTGTCTAGCTCTACAGCACAACAGGGGCATGCACTTTGGTGCAGCAATACTTTCGAGTACATTCACAGTTTGTTGAAGATACAGGTGGTTGGAAACAACGAGTTCTGCTAGCACATGAACTCGAGCAATCTGTGCCACCTAAGCATTTCGATATCGCCGGTTGCACGGTGCAAAAATTGCACGAGTACGCTGCCAACATGCGAAAGAGAATGGCAGGTAGAAAAGGGGCAAGAACCTGCTTCAGCGTCGACAGTTTGCAGCGAATACTAGGGGTGTCTGGCAAGTGTCTTCTCTCCTTTTCTTCCTATCAAGGGCGATCACAGCCGCCAGGCAAGCCACGCGGCTCTTACCTCAGCGGAGGACGTTAAGGCGATGAGTTCAGGACGAGAGTCTGCAGCCAAATCCAGCCACACAATGAAAATGGGGAGCAAGCAAGAAACAGCTAAAGCCAGCTACGGTAGACGTAAGAGCAGAGAAGCGCTGAAGGACGTTAAAGAGGCAGAAACATATTCAAAAGCGCACAGGTACGCTTTGAATCAGCAGGCGGCCCAAGGGGACGTGAGGATCAGCGGCAGCGATCCCAGCCACAAGCGACAGCGCCCGCAGGGGGGCCCATGCTCTCACCAGCAAATTGTCCAGACACAGTCGACGAGATGTTCCTGTTCTTAGCAGAGCGACCCCACGCGGCCGTGGCTTAAGCCGCGATCGGAACCGCAGCGCTGCCGCCCGGCGCGCAGATTCCCTTCCCCACATCCAGCCCATCGACAAAGATTCGGACGCACATAGGGACACGCTGGGACACGCAGGGACAGTGGTAGTGCGCGAGCGCCCGCTCCACTACGCCTCGGTGCATGGGTCCAATCTACGCAGACGGCAACAAAATCCATGCGAAGCCATCGGCCATGCCACCAAAGACGCTGCACAAGGCATGTCGGTTTGCCGAACTATTGAGCGCCTTTCCCAGCGCCAGGGATGCTCTCTTGCGCGATCACCTTATGGCTCTGCCCGTGCCGCTTCCCGGCCACCGCTGCCGCACGCTCGCTTCACAGCTTTGACACCCGCGGCTTTGGGGACACGCACATCGGCGAGAAAAGGGCGCGGGGGAGTATCTGTGCGCGGAGGGTTTGCCGGGTTGTGACGCATTAATGTACTGGAAGATTGGGTGCAGATGCGCGGTGGCCAGAATGCGTGGTTTTGTCCACGGACACCGTAGACTTCGTCTCCGTATTTGGCGAGCTCTGGTCCTTGGCACAATTTCTGTGTACACAGGCGACGCCCGTAGACATGACAAACGGCTCCAACCAAGAACGTTTCTTTTGTAAAGCTTAATTACATCATTGGCATTTTAGTTCTTCCTTTGCAAAGGAATGTCGATTGTGACTTGGTGCACGAAATGTTTGTGTCTACGTTTGTCGCTTGTGTGTCCAAGTCCTGCCTGAGCACCTGCCTCCCAATCACAAGTTCACAAGTCTGGCATGCGCTGCCCAAATTCAGCGGCTTTCTGGCAGCCGATGGCCGTGCCGCCACGCCAAATACGGTCGCCCCAGCCACACACGAGGGGCTCCCTCTTGGCTGTTTTTCGCCGCACGGAATCTGCATGTGCTATTTGGGGTATTTTCTTTCCATCTCTGCCATTTGTTTAGGGTCCCCTCAGCTAAGTGACGACTACATGGCCCCAAACGAAACTCGACGAAATTCAACAAGATTCAACGAAATTCAACAGAATTCAACGATATTCAACAATATTCAACGAAAATCACGATATTCAGCCACATCCGAGTCCACTGGCGACAATTTTTCCGAACACGGAAGCAGAAGTCCCCCCCCAGCGCCGTGCGTGGAGGGCAGACATTGGCATCGCGCCTTGCAGCACCTCTGCCCGGCGGTCGACTGGGCCAGCGTGTCCGGCGCCGCGCGCCATGGACTGCCTCGCGCCAACCGAGGGTGCCGACGAGGGGGCCTCCGATCGCTCCCAGGCTCCGGAGGCTCCGCATCGGCCTTCCAGGGAGGCCGGCGGGATCGAGGCGCCTGGGGCGGAACAGTCGACCAAGGCGGAGTCAGCGGAGCAGGTGGGCGGGCGGAATCCCTGGCTACCCGCCAGTGTGCCTATCCATCGGGAGGGGATGCAGATGCGTCGCGGATGCCGGCGGCGCTTTGGCATTTAGAATTTTGGATTGCGCAGGCACGGGGCCATTTGAGGTCGTTTTCAATGCACGAAGGCCCGGGGGGGGGGGAGGGGGGGGACGGGGAGATAGGGAGAGGGGGGCCGTTTCAAGCGTTTCGGCGGGGCGGAATTTGAGATCGGGTGCGGCCGGTGCGTTGATTGTCGAGCGTGGCGCGCGCCTGGCGCTGAGGGGGCGTTCCGCGGTTTGGTCGGGTCGGTCGTCACGATCGGGTCGCGCGACGCTCACGGGCTGCGCGGCCGTCCGCAGGCCGCCGGGGATCCCGTGGCCAGCGCAGAGCCGCCGCCGACGGCTGCGAAGGCGCAAGCAAGCGCGGGGAACACCGAAGGGCGGGAGGCGGATGGCGAGGAGTTGGGGATAAAGGACGAGCTGGTGAGGGTCGAGGCCGAGCTGCGGCTGGCCAGGAGCCAGGCGGAAGAATCAACGGCGGCGGCGCGAGATGCCGAAGAGCGCCTAGCGGTGGTGGATCGAGAGAAATCGGGGCTTGAGGGGCGGGTCGCAACCCTGGAGGCGTACGTGAAGGAGGCGAATTTGCGGGAGGAGCGCGCCAAGGAGAGCGGCGAGGCGCTGGCGGTCCGCGTGGGCAAGCTCACCGACCAGCTAGCCGCGGCGAGGGAGTCTACAGCCGCCGCGAGATCGGCGCATGACTCGGAGCTGGCCGCATCCCAGGAGAGGCTCAGGGGTCTGGAGGTGAGGCTGGGTGCGGCGGGGGCCAGCGAGGCGGGGTGGCGGGAGCGGGTGAGGCGCCTGGAGGCGTCCCAGAGGGAGATGGCGGCCAAGGAGGCGGTGGCGGAGAGGGAGTGGCACGAGAGGGCTGGGGCGTACGTCCGGGATATCGAGCAGGTGCGGGCGGCCAACAAGGGGCTGGAAGAAGAGGTTGGGCGGTGGAAGAGGCGGTGCGGGGAGCTGGATGACGCGCTGCAGAAGGCGGTGATGGAGGCCGAGGGGGAGGATGAGGGGGATGTGGGGGCAAGGAGGGGGCCGGCGAGTCAAGGGATGTTGATTGAGGCGCCCACAGTAGCGCACGAGGTGCCAGAGGGGCTGCTGGTGGGGAGGGAGGGGCCCCGGGAGGCGAAATCGGCGGAGGAGTTGGGGCGAAGGGGGGCGTATGAGGCATATGTGGAGGCGGTGGCGGCTTGGAACCGGGAGCACAGGCTGAGGGGGGACACACTGGAGTGCCTGATGGAGATGGTGGACAGGCTGAACGGCAGCGGGGAGAAGATTACGGTGATGGAGGACCGTCTGCACGTGGCCGTGGCCACCATATCCAGGCAACAGAACGCCCTGGTGGGCATGGCCCACGAGAAGGAGGGCCTGCTGGAGAGCATCGAGGGCCTGACGTCCGACCTGGCCGCTGAGCAGAACAAGACTGAGATCCATGCGCAGGCCGTGGAGGACTTGTCGGTGCAGGTGGGAACGCACAATGGCTGTTGCCAGGGGTGCAGTTTCCTTCGATTGCCTGCATCGGCATCGACAGCTCATGCCAGGCAACCCTTGAATGCTGAACAGCAATGTGGCAATATGTAGTGCGTTCCCTGAACTCATCTGATCCTGAACTTTGTCCACCAAAGGTGGCCCTTTATCTCAGAGAAGGAGAATTCGAAACATCATTTATGCACAGTGGAACGCAGGGTCGACGTACCCAATTGTGTGCGCCAGCCTCAGTCCTTTGTGATGCTGTGCCCTCAATGCTTCTGCCCAGGTGAGAACAATGCTGGAGGAGATGCAACAGATGAAGGTGGGCAAGCTGCAGGGGTTTGGTGCTGCGGGCCTGGCGAGCTCCCCAGCACTGAACCTGTCAAAAGTTTCGGACAGACGCCAAGATCCGATTTCTGCCCACCTGGTTGCTGTTCGTGATATCGAAGACATGCAAAGACAGAATCAGCAGCTCAGGGATGCTCTGCGGGCAGTAGCTTTGGAGGCAGAACACAATCATGCCCGTAGTGTGGCCAGCTACAAGGAAAAGTGCGACGAGCGCGTCAAGGCGAGTGAGTCTGAAATAGAGCTGTTGAGGAAGGAGCTTGAGGTGAAATCGGACATGGTGGAACACTTGACCCACCAAAGAGATGCGTATCAGAAGCTGGTGGTTGATGGGGCGCAGCATGCCTCAGCACACAGTGCAGATTCTGGGCAGCCCATGGATGAGCAAAGAAAACAAATCGAAGGTCTGAAGCAAGTTGTGTCTCAACTAGAGAGTGAGCTTGTTAAAGCGAAGGATGTGCATGCTGTGCTGTCGGTGACAAAGGAGCAGCTGAGCCAGGCAGATAATCAGTTGACGACGGCACAGGGGGACCTAGCCAAGCTGCAGGCACAATGCGACGTTCAGGCAAGCCGTATCAGCTGGCTGGTGGCGGAAGCCCAGCGGGGCCAGAAGGAGAGGGATCTTGACAAGGAGGAGGCTGTGCGTCAGAGGCGGTTGGCGAGCCAGTGGCTGGAGCAGGTGGAGACGCTGAAAAATTTGGCTGAAGAGGCAGATGAACGTGAGCACCGATTGGCAGAGAAGGTGGACAGTCTGGAAGACGTGGTGAGGACCATGTCCGAGAATGCGGAGGGCGCTGAGGAGGCATTCACCGCCAAAGTTAATGCCAAGGACGCAGAACTGAGGAGCCTGGAAGAGAATCATGCCAAGGTTGTTGAGGCAAAGGACAGCGAACTGGCAGAGGTCAGAGGCTTGTTGGAGGAGTCAGAAAGGAGGATAGAGAGGATGCAAATCGATGTGGAAGGGTTCGAGGAACAGACTCAGCACGTACTTGAGCTGCAGGGAGAGATTGTGGTGCTGAAGTCGGAACTTGAATCCATGAAGGCTTCTGCTGCTACGGCGCAGGAAATGCAGGGGACTGCCGCTGAGGTGGAGACTCTCCGTTCAGCTCTGTCAGAGAGCAAGAAGAGCGAAGAGCAAGCTAAGGAACAGTGCACATCCCTTCTGGAAGAAATGGCAAAGCTGAAGGCCGATACTGAGGTGGAAACTCTGCGGGAGGCGTTGTCAGAGAGCAGGAGGTGTGCAGAGGAGGCGGAGAACAGGTGCTCGACCCTTCTGGAAGAATTGAAAACGGCTGGGGAGGCTGCTGAGAAGCTGGCGGCTGAGGAGGCCAAAGCACTGAGGGAAGCAGAGGAACGCTGTGCGAGTGTGACCCAGCGCTATGAGGCGCTCATGCAGACCCTCAGGCAGGAAGATGAACCCCCATCAGGTGGATCCCTTCCACCATCGGCAGCCGATGAGGGCGCCGACGGTGCTTCCATTCCATTGGATAAGCAAAAGGAGCAAGCAGTGCGCCGCATGGTTGCCTTGGAGGCCGAGCTCAACGAAAAGACTGCCAAGTTGGAGCATGCTGAGAAAGAGCTGAACGAAAAGACTTGCAGATTGAAGCAGGCAGAAAAAGAGCTGGTGGAAAAAACTGACGGGCTGCAGCTGGCAGAAAAGAAGGTGGAGGAAAAAACCACTGGGCTGGAGCAGGCAAACAAGGACCTGAACGAAAAGTCACGCATATTGGAGCAGGCGGAAAAAGAGCTGGAGGACAAGACTGGGAGTTTTGTGCAGGCAAAACAGCAAGTGAGCGAAGTGACTGGGAGGTTGGAGGTGGCGAACAAAGAACTGCAGGAAAATGCCAGCAGGATGGAGGTGATGCAGACAGAGCTGAATGAGAAGACCAACAAACTGACACTTGCTGAAGCGCAGGCCAGCGAAACAGCTGGTAGACTGCAACTGGCAGAAAAAGAGATTGCAGCCCTGAAAGGCCGCCTTCAGGTGCAAACGGAGAAAGACGAGCAGACAGCTCGAATCAAGGAGAAACACCAACAGGCCATGGAAGACTTGAAGCTTCTGCCAGGTTTGAGCGCCCAAGTCGCAGGACTTCAGCGCAGACAGGAGCTCACGAAGAAGAGCTCGCTGGCAATGCAAGCCCAAAAGGATGAGATTGAGAGGAAGAAAGTCATGCTGGAAGGGACAGTGAGAAACCTCCAGGAGGACCTTGCTGCCAAAGACAATGACCTTATTGCCATTAAAGCCCAGCTTCAGGAGAAGGAGGCGAAGTTGAAGAGCCTGGAGTCTCTGCACACCGAGCTGGACATGTTGAGGCGGCGAGTCAGCACTTTGGCGGGCGTCAAGCCCCAGGACGCGCCCACACCATCGACCTCCAAGGTCTCTGCAAATGAGTCACGGTCCTCACGTCTACAGGCAGCAAGACGTGCCCGGAGGGCTTCTGACGGCCAGAAGCTGGGTGTGGAGAACGGCGCTGGCAAGGCCAAGTCTCCAAGCGCCTTGCATGGCTCCTTTCAGACCTCCGCTGGGCAGGAGGACCTCGCCAAGAAGATGAGGGAGATTGCAGCATTGAAGGCTGCAATGAAGGCAAAGGAAGAAGACATGAAGCAGCTGAGGGGCTCTGTGAGGGATGTTGCAAGCCTCGCAGGAGTGAAGAAGAACAGCGATAGAGAGCCTCCAACACGTGGCCCCAGCGGAGCGCTGAAGCGCTCTCTGAGTGGCGAGGAGACTACCCTGGGGAAAAGGCTTTCAAACAGTTCACTAATGCGCCAGGCAGCAGACCGGTCCAGGAAGGTTGCGCTTGGCAGGGTGCGGCTGCCTGGAACCGCCAAGGTTCAGAGAACTGGATTGCCACTGGTTCAGTCTGACGCAGCAGAGGCCACGCAGGACTGGCCCAAGCAGGGCGAGCTGCCACAGAAACTTGGGCTGAACCTGGGAGACAAGCAACCTGGCAGTGCTGCGGTAAGCGAGGCAAGAAGTGTGTCACGTGAGCCAGGTGAGCTCTGGGACGAGCGTGAATCCAGCGATGAAGTTAAACTGGTGGATGTCAGGCACACCAGCCAAAGGGACGGCAGGCCAGGGAGCTCTGTGACTGGCAAGGAGCCTGTTGGCTCTGTCATGGGTACACCGGCGGCAAAGGGCAGGTCTGCGGCTTTGCCACCGGACACCGGGGAATTGGAGGGGATGGATAAGCTCGGGGAAGACGATCAGGATGGAGATGCGCAGAGGGGGGGGAGGCACGACAAGATCGTGTGGCAGCCAGGTCAGTCGAAGAAGGGGGCAGGACAGGAGAGCCCGTCGCCAGCAAGGGCAAGGAACCCAGGGGGCAAGAACTGATGCACGCCTTTTCCTGTCAGTCTTGTATCTGTAACTATACTGTGTTGTCAACTGCGATGAATTAGTGTTAGTGCGGGCTGAGGACTGTTGCGCACTTGGCCACAAGCTGTCGCTGGCCTTGGTACCAGGGAAGATGTGTAAAGAAAGGAGCTGCTTGTGTCCACCTGCAGCCGTTGGTGCCATAGTCTGCTCAGCACGCTCGCTGTAGAACAGTGAAGTACGAGCAATGATTTTGAAAATGCTTCTGTTAGATTTGGCACGAATCCAGGATGTGAATTATTGCCATACCAGGGCCATCTTTTTAGACATGCTTTCTAGTAGACATACCTGTGTCAAACATCTAATCAATCTCCTGGTGTTGAACAACAAGAAGTAAGACACCTTCCACAGAAAGCACTGGACACAGCAGGGGACACAGCAACATGTCGGGGGTAATACCCTGCTGGATCCTTGTTCATCAAGAGTGCAGGGCCTTGTGGTATGCCATGGCTATTCTTCTTGGGGGGCTCAAGGGACCATCGCAGCGCTTCTGGGCTGTGGATCGCGCCCCTGCGTTGGACCAGATGTGCAAGTTTGGGATGCTGGACACAAATTGGAAATATATGAGGCAGAAGGCACCACGATCCATAACCTGCTGCTGGGAAGACGCACAATCAACATCACGTTAGCCATGAGGCTGTGACTTCATGCAGTCTGCCAGATGGATGGGCAGTAAGCTGTCATAATCTTCCAGAGAAAAGAAGCTGCAAAAGTCTGGATAACATTTTCAGCAATAGTCCCTGTTACAGACACCACCTCCTTACTAAACCACCTTTCGTTGCCTCCCCTGCCGGCTTTTTCGCAGCGCCCCCATGAATCGACGCCATGCAACTCTGTCCCTGTGGCACCCCTCTTTCGCCATATTCCTACTGTCCAAGGCCCCTCTACTCCCCCTTGGGGGGCCCTCTCCCCCTCCCCCCCCTTCCCCTGTAGCGTGGCAACCTCGGGGTTGGCTGCCACTTGATAGGGTTGTGCCTTCCCCTGGATCTCTCCCGCCCCTGCCCTTCTTGCTCAGGCTCGCTGGCAGACCCCTCGTCCTGATCCGTGGAGAAATCCTGCCCACTGGCCCCCATCTCCTCCTGATCCCGTCCTGGCTCTATCCCATACTCTCTATCAAAGGGCGAATACTCCCCACCGTCTGTGAACCTGTCACTGGCTTGCGCCCCATCCCCCGATGCAGCCGGCATGAAAGGTGTCGAGGCAACGACACGCTTGGGTTGTGGGCTTGCAGTACCTTCAACAGAACCAGGCCAGCTGCCCACGCCACCACCCAGCCCATGGCTCCGGTCTGGCAACCCCTCGACGCCCTCCTGGGAGCCGCTCGTTCGAAATTTCACCCCCCCTTGAAGCCGAATCCTGTCCAGGGCCTTCTCCCTGAACTGTGCTGCCACCCTCTTCGTGTGCTCGTGGCTGCCTGAGGAGCTTCTCCTGCCAAAGGAGCCCTCTTCGCTGCTGCCAGACGGAAAACTCCCGAGGGATGACCGCCCCACTGGTGTGACCTCCCCAATGGACCGCTTCCTGCTGAATGGCGGCCTGGCAGCTTGCAACCCCATGCGCCCTGCCATCGCCTGCCTCGCCTGCAGTGAGGACATCCCTTGAGACACATTCTTTGTGTCTGGCACTGTGATCTTGGGGGCCCCCGCAGGCACTGCATCAGCTCTAACGCTGCTAGTCTGCAGCTCTGGCTTCCGTGCCTGAAGATCCCGCACAGTGGCCTTCACAGCGTTCAGTTCCTTCTGCAGCGATTCCACCTCCGCCGTTTTCTGTGCCAAGGATGTCTGTAGCTCCTGTCGGCCACCTTGTTCCCTCTGCAGCCCCTGCCGCATCGCCTGCACCTCCTCCGTCATTGACAGGTACTTCTTCTGCAACTGCGAGAGCTGCATGGCAGCGCTCTGCAGGTCGGAAACCTGTGCTTGCAGCTTCTGCATGCCTGCGTCTTTGGCCTCGACCTGCTTGCTCATCGATGACAGTGAGTCGGCCTGTGACAGCACCATGGCCTGGAGGTCCCCCACCTTCCCCTGGAGGGTCGCAGCCTCTGCCTCGACAGCTCCCTTTTGCTCCTGAACCTCGTCGTAGTTTTTGCGCATTGATACCAGTTCCTGGCGAAGGGTAACAGTCTGGGCGCTCAACTCCGAGAGCTGCTTCAGCTCCTGCACAGTCTTCGCGTGTTCTTCTTGTGTCAACGCCATCTGCACACCCAGGTCTGCCTGCTGCTGCAGACGCATCCTCAAATCTGCCACCTCCTTCTCTGACTGCTCCAATGCAACCTTTTTTACTGACAGCTCGTCTTCGACTGCGGCAAGTTGCTCAATTGCCTTGTCTTTCTCCTTGCGAAGGAAGTCCACCACCCCTGGCCAGTCATCCTCAGCTTTTGCATCTTGTGGCCCAGACCCTGGCAAATTTCCCAGGGCAGACTCATATTGCTTCCTGGCATTCACAGCTGCCAGGGCCTCCTCCTGCGCCCGTTGAAGCTCCTCTTGGTACCTGGAGGATGCCATTTTGGCTTCTTCCAAGGACGCCTGAGTGCTGGCCAACTCGTTGCGGAGGGAAGTGACTTGGGTTTCGAGTTGGTGCCTTGTCTGCTGACTGTCATTCAAGCTCATCTCTGATTCCAGCTTTGCAATGTGCTTCTGCAGATCGTCCACATGCTGAGTCTGCTCCTCAAAACCTTGCACATCGATTTGTAGTCTTTCTATTTCCCGACGTGCACTGTGCAGCTCATCTTGAAGCCTTGTGAGCATGGCGTCCTTTGCCTCCAGGCTCTTTGTGCTCTCCGCTTGTGCCTCTCTAGCCTGTCTTTCTGTCGATTCCATTTGGGCCTTGCAACGGTTCACAGACTGCTCTGCCTGCTCCGCAGTGTCCTTGGCGACCCTGAGTGCTTCCCTTGTCGTCTCCAGCTCTGCTTCCAGGTGACTGGCAGAGGGCTGATGCCTCTCTGTGCACTCATCTGCCGCTTCGGAGCCCTTCTTTGCAAGCAAACCTTCCAACTCAGACACTCGAGCTTCGCTCGCAGCCACCTTCTCCTGAGCCTCCTTCATTGCCTTCACGCTGGCATCCTTCTCACTGAGATCCATCTTCAGCTTGCCAGTTTCTTCAGCAATTCTTTCTGCATACACATTGAGATGTCCAAGGGCCTGTGCGAGGGGTTTTTCAAAGCCACTGCTCTCTGCCAACAGCACTGCATACTTGCAATTCACACCATCTAGCTCTTCTCTCAGTGAGTTGCACCGCAGTTCAGCATCGAGAACCTTGGACAACAGTTGCTTCTGGGAGTCCATCACATTCTTCAGCTCTGCCATGCACTTGCTCTCTGTTGTCTTGAGCATTGCATTTTCATGCTCAAGAGTGCTCACTGTGGAAGTCAGGCCCTGCACAATGGCAGTGGCCTCCTCTGTCTTCTCCTCTGCTGTGCAAGCACTCTTGATCAGTTCGTTCACAAGCCTTCGTTGAATGGATATTCTCTCCTTCGCCGTCTCACACTCCCTGATAAGAGCCTTGTGCTCAAAGTCCAGGCGTCCCAACTCCAAGGTGCTCGTTTCCAATTTTGCTCGAACCTTGCCTGACTCGCTCTGCGACTGTGCTAACCGGTGCTGCATCTGCTTCACTGCATCTCTGGATGCTGCCACCAAGGCCTGGGCATCCTTCGCCTTGGCAAGCTCGCTCTTGAGCTGGGCGACTTCAGCATTCAGCTTTTCGATGTGCTCTTGCCTTGCCCCAGGGAGTGTCTGTGTGCCTGATGAGCCAGCATCAGCATTCTGGCCCTGGGTTGGCACCCTTCCCTCTGAGGCAGCAAGAAAATAGAAATCTCGTTGTTGAGTGACCTCAGCAAGCTTCGTGGCTGTGGAAGCCACGTCAGCCTTTAAACGATCCATCTCAGCAGCCCACTGCTCAGCATCCCTCACTCTCTCCTGCTTGTGGCTATCAACCAATCGAACCTGATTCTGCTCCGCCTCGAGTGCAACGGCACGCAACGCGTCGCGCAGGTGTCTGTTCTGCTGCTGCATCTCTTCAAGATCATGAACAGCAACAAAGCTCTTGGATATGGCATCCCTCCTCTTGTCAGGTCCTCTCTGACCATACAAGCTGGCTGTGCTTGACGGAGTCAGCCCCGGAAGGGCGGATGCACTGTGGGCCTTCAGCCGTTCCACCTCTTGCAGGAGTGTTCGAACTTGTAGTGACAAATCTTCTGCTGAATGGGCCTGCACAGTCTGCTTGTTCTTCTCAAACCTCAATAGATCTTTCTCCTCCTCCAAACGTTCCACCAAGACCTGTTTCTCTTGCTCAAGAGCCAAGTAAGCCTTCTCGGTCTGTTTGCTGGTAGAGGTGGCCAGCTGCACACGATGCTCCAGTGCGGCGATCGACTCTGACTTTTGTTCAAGTTTGTCAAAGAGATGCTGCAGGCATCTGCTGCCCTGCGTCCTTAGCTCATGCTCCTTGTTGTACGCATCAACAGCCTCCACATACCTGGCAAACAACTCATTGTTGTCAAGACATCCCTTTTGCACAGCCTCCATCATGCTCTTGTCAACTTGCAACAGCCCACTGGGTATTTCCACTTCTGGTTCAACATCTGTTCGATCCTCCATCGGCTCTGACGGTTCACTTGGGGCTGCCACAGAAGCCTCCAACTTGGCAGTCAGGTCCTTCACAAGAGCTTCAAGCCCTGAACACCTCTCCATCCACTCCTTCGTCCCCTCTTCTGCCAGCATTTTTGATTCCTTTGCAACCTCCACCTCACGCCTGTACACCCTGGCCTGCTCCTCCCAGTGCTCGTGCTCTGTCTCCCTCCCCATCAGGCTGTCCCTCAGCTCTGCTTCCAGCCTTCTCACCCTCTGTGCATACCAGGCCTGCAGCTCATGGGCGCTGTGCCCCTGGGCCTCTTTCAGCTCCTCCTGTAGTTTTGCCAGTTCACTACTCAGCCCACGGCGTGGTGGCTGTGGAGCTGTTGCCTCTTCCAGCCGGCTGTTCACTGTGGCCAGACGCTCCTTCAAGGCCATGCTTTCCGCAGACAAGATGCCCACGTGCATCTCGCGCTCGTGCAGCGTCATCTCCAACTCTGCAACCCTCCCCTCCAAGGTAGCTGTGCTCCTACTTGCAACTTGTAGCCGGGACGCCTGCTGAGCAGCAATCAAAGCAGATGCTTTCAAGCTTTCTTGCGCCCTGTGGAGGTCTTCATGCAATTTTTTGGCCTCTTGGCGGGAGCCGAGCTCTTCCATGTCCCGATTCAATCTCAGTTCGGCCAGGCGTCCTTCATGCTCAAACGCCCATTTTGCTTGGATCTCGCCTTTCAAGTGCTGCAGACAAATAAACGCCTCCAAATCAGCCCCAGGCACCTTTGAAATTCAACTGTCCAGGCCGCAGCCGGCCCATCAGGCGTTGGCGCCTCCTGGGCTTATTGGGTTTGGGGTTCAGCAACAATCGTTCGGCACTTGCTCCATGGAAGGCACAACCCCCCCACCCCCAAGCACAAGAACCCAAAAGCACACATAAAATCGGCAACAGCAGCTCTAAGAGTTTGGCGACAAGCGTGGACTGGGTTCTGCTTCGCCCTGCCCCTGGGCACCACACACAGATACGGCCACCGCGTTGGCGCACTGGCACAGCAAAGACGGCTTCACATAACCGGACGACTGGCGCGCTGACTTGTCCTTTATTCCCCACGATCTGAAGGCGCCAAACGCGCCTGCCAATCAGATGGCGGCGCCCCGTGCACCGACGCCAGGCCCCGGCCCCGGCATGGCTGCGCCAATGGACGCCTCCTCCAGTCCTGTCGGACTTCGACGCTCATGGCAATCATTTTTTGGACAGTCTGCCCGAAAGACTCAGCCCAACATCACCTCGCAGGCACAGGGGCTGTGTTCCGCGACTTCTTCGCCCATTGCAGTCAATGGATTTGCTCACCTCCTCAAGCCGCTTCCTGTCGCCCTCCAGCTCGTCGACCAGCCCGTCCAGCCGACGGCATTCCTGCTGCACGGCCACGTGCGCCGCCTCAATGGCCTGGTACGCCGCCTCGCGGCGCACCTCGCGCTCCTCATCGCCGTCGTCCGCCTCCATTTTCAGCCTGTGGCGACCACCAGGGCATGCGGCGGTGCGTTTGCGGGCACCAGGCAGCAATGGCGCTCCTGGGGCTTCAAAGGGAGACTGGAACCTAACCTGGAAAGTTGCCAGCGTCGCCGCGTAGCTCTAGGTCCCAACGCAGGCGCTGGCACTGCTGCGATCTTTAGCGACCTGTGGTATTTGTGACTGCCAAAAGTTACATCACGCTTTGGAAACTATTTTTTCGGATTTTGTATTGCATTATTTTGTATTTTGTAGTGCGCATTTTGTTGTAAGGGCAGCCGACCGCTGACAGCCTGTCTCCCACCCCTATCTCCCAACTGAGTCCCCTTGACTGTTTAGGAAGTTGGTGTGAGAGACAACGGAGGACAGGAAGACGGGAAAACTCTTGTAGACGGTATGGAGTGGCCGCGCTGTGACCCTCGCCCCTCCTGCCACCACTCTTTGGCTTGCAATGGTGACAGCATCCCTACTTTTTGCGGTGCCTATGTGAGCTTGCCAGGAATTTGTTATTATCATTACCATTTATTTAAGGAATTTGTTACTATTTTTATTCTATTGTTGTGGTTCATTTTTATGATGTGTTTCCGTGTGCTTTAGCTAACCGCACAGAACCGCTGTCAGGTGTGCACACTACTCATTTGAAGAACATTACTTGCAAGCCTTGCTCATCGCAGCGCAAAATCTCGATTGGTGTGACCATTCGAACCTTAAAGGTGAGCGCACCCGCGCCACCAGTTGCTCCTGTGCGAACCAGGTGAGCTTCTCCGTACAGATTAGGGATGGTACCCGGGTACAGGAAACCCGGGTACCCGGGGCGGGTATTGATTTTTCCAGTACCCGCCTACCCGGGTACCCGCCAACCCTTGTACCCGGGTAGGCGGGTACGGGTACGTACCCGGGTACAGGCGGGTACCGGCGGGTACCCGGATTACCCGGGTACTGCCAGTACCCGGGTCCGGGTACGGACCCGGGTACAGCACTTTTGGCCAGCGGTCGCCCGGTGCATAGCTTCGCACCGCGCTGGCTTCCGAAGGTCGCCCCCGTCCACACTGTGTGGCTGCGTCGCGATCGTGCACGGCGCCGATGCTCTCCACACACTCTTGTTTGGGCCGCGCGTTTGGTGATCTAGGGGCGCCGGCGAGCCAGAATCGGGGGATCTGACGGGTTGGAACATCGACATGGCGCTGCTTCGTCGATCCTGTGGCGCCGGCGATCCGGATTCGGGGTATCTGACGGGTTGGAACATCTCTACACACCTGCGGCAACTAGCTGTCTGCAGAAAATGCGGCTGGGCTCCGACGGGTTGGTCCCTAGGATACCGGCTGTGTTGCATCCCTGGCGCCCGAGCTACCCTAGTTGGGGATTGCAGGTCGTCCGTTTCAATGCGAAACGGTTGGTGCGCGCAGGACATGCCCAGCAACTTGGACTAGATGGATCGGTGATTGCTTTTGGGCGTTGTTGTCGTTGATGTCTTACAGCTGCATAGTTTCATTGTCGTTATTGTGGTGGTTGTTCTTGCTGGATCGCCAACGCGATCGTTGACCAAAAGGCGTCCAGCCCTTTCCGGATTGTGCCAGAAAAACGCACGGCTCGTGGAAGACAACGTCAGGGGAGGGGGCGCCGTCGTCGTCGCGGACTTCATTAGACAACAGCCGGCCAAGCGCGGCGGAGCGCGGCCAGCCAGCGCTGCGTCGGCGCAGGGAGCGCCTTTCCGTACCCGGGTACATACCCGGACCCGGGTACTGGTTGTACCCGGGTACCCAGTTTTTCGCGGGTACCCGAGTATTGGGTGTACCCGGGTTACCCGGGTACACCCGGGTACCCAAGTTCTCGAAACACCGGGTACCCGGGTCCGGTTTTGCCAGCCCGGGTACCATCCCTAGTACAGATACATATTTGTTGAGAGCTTGTACTGGAGTTTGACATCTCACCTTCCCATTCACAGGTCCGGACACGTGTGTCCAAGCCGCGTATCGCTGTCGTATGATGTTTGCTTAAATACTTCGAAACAGACTTGGTTTTTACGTTTACGTTTACGTTTTTACTTGTACATTTCTACCCATTAAAATGTAAATTTGCACAAGTCCCTATTTTACCGCTATTTGTACGTTTTTGCTGCTTCCTGGGACACCCAGGTTACACGATTAAAGTTGCGTACAATGATCAGTCCTGCGCCATCTACAGCACTCGCAACACAATGTCCACCTCGCGCGAGGTGCCAAGGGCGCCAAGGGCGGGCCCTTGGCAAGGGCGATAATGGGGCTTAACAACAACTCGTTTTCTCCCACTTCAAGGGCGTTTGGCTGCCACTCTCCGGACTCCGCAAGTCTGTATGTACCGTCCTTATGTACAGCAGGCAGTTTTTACGTTGTGGTACGTGCTCGCACATTTTCTTGAGATAAAAGCAATAAAAACTTTACACCTGCCGATAAAGCAATAAAAACTTTTTTTACACGTAAAAACGTAAATACAATCAGTTTTTACGGCGTAAAAAACAACCCTGCTTCGAAACCTCTTGTCGCAAGATGGAAGCCAGTGTCAGCCAAGTTTACCTCAAGACGTGTCTCCTTCTGTACGATTTACTTCATCATTCCAGAAGAAGGCAAGAAAACTCTTAAAGCTCGTGTGAAGTTTGTTGTTCTTTGACGGCATACACGCTGCAGGAGACAGAACTCTAGGCATGCAAGGCATTGCAGCGGCTCCTGTGCTTCAACATTCAACTCAATTTAATAAACACTCCTGTAGATGACGGAGGAAAGCGGCCCGGGCAGCCCCCTCTCCCGTTGGGCGAGTTTTCATGTTCGTCGGCAAAGCGTACCAGCACTCGACCAATTTGCACCTGAAGAACAACCTAACAACGACACTTACCACAGAAAAAGTGTGATGACATTGCAGCAACATTTCTGCGGCTTCCGGCACAGCGTCCAAATAGCGGACCATATGGCAACCTGCCAGTTACCGCAGGGCCCGCTATTTGCACGCTGTGCTGCATACCAGCTAGCCGGGGGCTATGTCGTGGCATACCCCCGGCTAGATAATTTGGCCCAAGCACTCCACAACACCCACCACGTTCGATCACGCCGGGGACCAAGCACCCCGGCGCTACTCTTCGTGATCAGCGGTACATTTCCAAGGCATTTGTATCCCTATCGGCTTGGCGTTGCCCCACCCAATTACCTATCCTGCAACACAATAGCCGTCAGCTCCATAGTGTGCCCGAGAATTTCTGCGTCCACGGCCTTTAAGTCGAAAATCGAATAATTGGCAATCAAGATGTAGACATTCAGGCGGCGTTGGAGCCGGCAACAGCGTTTCCAAGTCTGATATGTGTATGCGTCCACGCACATACATATGTGGATAGAAATGCCCATGCACACGTACATTAGTTGCTCAGCTAAGTTGCTCGCCCTGAGCATGATCCCTCCTCTCTGGTCCCCCTGTCGACCCATATTGGCGCCTCGAAGATTCTGGCTGAGAGGATTGAGGCGCGCCAACCTTCTCCCCACGGCGGCAGCCCCAGCCTCCTTTTGCAACCGTTACACAACATTGGCAAAGGAAATTGCAGTAAGGGGCGCTCGATGTGCGATCTCCAAACTATCTCCATGGGACAAGCTGCCAGACGGACAGGAACACAGTTCCGCTGACGCGCCTCTGCCCAATGATTGTGGCCGCAATTAATCGCAATATATGCGCATATATGTGCATATGCACAATATTGTGGCTATAACTGTCTGCAGGTAGGAGGTGTAAAAGTTTTCCAAGATACTTGGACACAGATGCGTGCTGTACTGGTCTCGCGAGACTTGCCACACAGCCACCCGCAGGGAAGCACAGTGCTGTCACTGTTACTGTCTATCCGCACAAAGACCCTGGTGGCTGGAGCCCAACGTCCGTTTGCTGAGCGCCCCTCATATAAACCACATCGGCCCCTTCCGTGCCTCAGCTGATGTACGCTCGCCACAACGCAAGCGATAGGAAAGAGTTGATGCTGACTTGCGCGAAGGAAAATGTCAATGCCAACGCTGATTCAAGCGCCCATGTCGGAAGTCAAGAGCAACAACAGCAAGAATGTACATGCGTTAATGCATGTGCATTCTTGCTGTTGTTATATTCTGAAGCTAGAACAGGAACATTGTTGTTCACGCATCAGGAAATATTCCAATGCGAGGTGCCACTGACTCAAGTACATTTGCCAAAATCCAATAAGGGCTCGGTGGGGCGGCCCAGCAACACATCCCCTCCCCTCCCTGCCCGTGGCCAGCTTTGCGCCCGGCGAATTCAACCCAGAGGAGCGCCGCCCCATTCTCTTACTCTGGTTGCTGTGGTGGCATTGCAGCCTGCAATGCATTGCAATGTGGAACACTACCGCGGTCACCACCACCTAATAAGGTTAACGCGCTGGAAACGTTTGCTTATCACGGTCTGTCACCTGGTGTGCGAATGCAGTACATAGCGCAGCGAAGCAGGAATGTAGCGAAAAGGGACATTTTCCAACAAAACGCGACGGAGGGGTGGCTGCTAGACGCTGGAGAAGAATGGAACCAGAAACCCGGTTAGGAGAGGACGAAATGGTCCCATGTAAAACGTTTAAACCTCAAATACACGACATTTTCTCATTTTATAAAATGAGAAAATTGTGATAATTATCACAATTCGAACGCAGCTACAAACTGTGTGAAGGCCGCTGTATTCCCCAGTGAGCCTGGCAGCGGCAGCCACGTGAATCAGATGTCGACCCGACAGGGATGGGTTGGCGCTCCGCTGTGTTGCTGTGGAGGGGGCGCTGTCGCATCGGCGATTGCTGTCGCTGGCAAGGGACAGAACGCATGTTCATGGAGCTGCACGGGCTTCAGTCGCTGCAAACGATCAATCAACGCTTAGTGGTGATCTTCAGGACGGTTTCTGATGCCCCTTCACAGTCACGTCGCACGTCGCTCGGCCTGCTCACCAACAGAGCCTGGTGATTCATGACAGCACGGTAGTAGGGTGCAGTGTATGTAATTGATGTTTCAACCATCTGCAACGGCATCACGGATTATTGAGAGGTCGGCGCCCGCGCACTTCGGTATTGTATCCACTTTCTTGCTGCCACGAATGAAGAAGCAACTTGATGCTTTGAAAATTCCGATAAAGCGGCCAATTTTTTCTGTGCAATATGCTTGCATTTGCGCCTGTGGCGTGGGTGCAATTACGCTCCACAAGATGTTGAGGTCTCAAGCTCTGCACAGCACTGCGCTTTAGGCCATTAAAAGTACTCACATGGCAGCATTTACATTCAAAATATTCTGCGAAAAATGACCTGTGTTGAGCAATTTCTGAAAATGATAATATAATCTCAAGCAGTCTTTTGCTGAAAATTGTGTCGTTTTCGGATGGGATGCCTGCACCAGCGGAATTGCGTAGAGCTAATAAGCTCAAAATAACCGTAGAGATGAGCGGCATTTGCGCTGAACAATATCTGCGCAAATATTGTTCCATTGTAGCAGTCAGAGACGGGCGTCTGTGGACAGCGTTGCACAACATTCAGGCCAAAGGACCGATTACAGATGTGCTGTTGTATATTAACTTCCTAATAAAGAAGCCTGATCACTCAGGTAGACTAGCAACGGTATGCAATCGCCCCCATGCGTTCTGCTTTGCGCAAAATTGTTGCCAGTAGAATAGCATCGTACGACAGTTCCTGTACAGCCAGTGACATTTAATCTGCAACTTGCATGTTACATCAAATGGCACAAATATCTCGTGTGTTCCGCTACTTTGGGGCAAACTGAAAATCAATGCAATACTTCTGGATGAACATTATGTGATATGGCGCTTATCTAAAATCACGAAAATTTTGTAAGAACTCCTGATGATACAGATTTTGCCGCTGTGCACCCTTCCAGCACTGGCAGAAAACGGCATGTTTGCGACGCCAACTGCGATGCCATTTTGACACAAAATAATGCCGTCACAGTGTTAGCGATGGCATAAAAGCGGCTGCGATGGCATCAATTTGTGTCAAATGCCATCACAATTGGCATCGCAAACAGGCTGTTTTCTACTGGTGCAGGGCGTCAGGCCGTCCCGTGGACACCCTAAAACCGTTGAAAAGTCAGAGACAGACTTTTACCCAAGGGCAGATGCGGATGTGATGTGCTATCTCGGAGCAGAAAAACGCGGATGTTGCATGGTTCAACCTGGGGTGCCGAAGCGAGCAAAGTCAGCAACCAAAAAAAGGAAACTGGACCGTGACTGCGGTCAATGCAAGGGCCCTCCAGCTTCCAACAGGTTCCCGTGGCTGTTCGGTGGCGGCCAATCCCTTCGGCAAACCGATGCGCAGATGTGGCTCTTCAACCGTTTCTGGAGACGAGAAGGTGCGCCGAGCAGCCCTGGTGCGCGCTCCTCGATCTGGCACAGACGTCCGCCCCTAAAGTTCTTCGAGAACGCAGGGATTCACGCGCTCGGTGCCCAGACACGGGCTGGAGATTATCTAGCTGTCTCACGAGAGCAGGGCAGCAACTTGAGTGAGGAGCCGGAATGATGCTGAGTTTGGCTCATGGTTCTGTTGCTTTGGTATGCGTAGCTTTGATCGTCAGCATGTTTCAGGCAATGCCCACAAGATCCGGGGCGCCGCGCTGTTGCGGCGTGTGCTGGCGGCGATCCACGAAGCAAACAATTTGAAGGCCCGTTGAAGTAGGGTGATAACATCTCCACGCGGGCTCTTGCGCGTTCCCCTGGGAGATTCCGTTCTCGCAATTGAGCCCCCGGCGATTGCCTGTGGCCTCGATTCTGGCGTATTCTGTCGGGCGGAAGGGGTTGGACGACCCCTCTTCCTTGCCCCTGGCGTGGTGGTTTGGTAGAGCAGTGGGACAGCCTACCCGGAAGTACCCGGCTCGATCCCCGGTTGGACATCCTCTTTGCCATCCGCGCTAAAACCTATTCACTCGCGACAGTCGTCCCTGGCTGCTGGCCTGCTGTTCGGCCTTGTCCTTTGCGGTTGGTTCCCGCTCGCGTGCGCAGCACCGTTCGGCGGGCCTGCGTGCTAGCCTGCAACGGGGCACCATTAATGGGATCCAATGGGTACCGATGCTTGATTCGGAAGGTGTTCCAGTGGTCACGGGCAGGGGTGTCAAGGCTGGGGAGTGGGACAAGATCACGGACGCCCTTCTTCGCTTCCCGGGGTGCCTGAAATAGTTTTGCGCCCTTGCTGCCCGAGGCCACAACACTGGGGTTGGTCCGGTTCAGTGCAAACACAAGTGCTTCAGTAGAAGAGGAAGAAGATGAACTCCCGAATGCACGTGTGGTATTGTTTATGTATATATTGCCCTTGCTGTATTTTATGTAATTCTGACCTCATTGCTTGAAAATGGGATCAGAGCCTCTTCAGGTGACAGCCTCTCAGCTCTTCATTGTATATGAGGGTGAATACGATGTGTTTGTTGAGCTGCATCCTCCATCTGTTCAGGTGGAAGCAGAGAATTGGCTACGGACACTGGGATCTCTGGTCATGAAGGTATGCTTTTCCTAGTTTGTTGTGTCTGGTGCCAGAAGATGCTAGAAACTAAACATACCAGTCCAAGAAGGAATACACAATGTCCATCATGATGCTGTGTTGCTTGCTGCAAGATAGCTGGCCCACCATTAGTAGTCACACACCATGTTCAGGCCATTGGTGCCAAGCTTGATAGTTTGCGCATGCATTCTTTTCCTTGTTATGCAGTCTTCTTTTTGGCCCTTTGGCAATGAGGCTCCGTAACTGCTTTCCTAATAAATGGTGCACATTATCTGCACAAGGAGGACTGTTTTTCGCTCTGCTCATTGCAATTCTTAGCAGGCAGATATGCACAACTCTCTGAAACAAGACTTGGGGATTGTGTATTCATGTCAACGTTTTGAACGCGCCAGAGTTTTGCATTGGGCTTAATGCACTCCAGAAACCGATGCTTGCATCTGCCCACCATTCCTACCTGGTGTATCTTTTTGCCGGGAACAAAGACCTGCATTGCCACGGTCTCAGTCAATTGGCCATTAATTGCATGTTGTACAAACTGGCCATGTTCAAAGATGCGATCTTGGGGCAGCGAACAACATTTGCTTGTTGAAGATCCATCTGTCGTCACCAACAGGCACAAGAACTTGGATTTGTGCTTTGCTGTTGATGAACAGCAACCATAGCAATTCACCTGTCAGCACAGCAACGGTCGATATCTGATGTGATCCAGTGATGTTCTGCAGAGATTCCCGCCACTCAAAAGCCTAAAGAACAGCCACCCTCCCCTGTTGCCCCTGCCATAGCCCCACTGTGCAACCTTGCTGAAGCACTGTCATGGAGTCCTGGGGCGCGGCCGGCCGATGCGTTGTGCCGCTCCAGCGTGAAGCTGCAGTGGGTGCATCGCGATGGGGCCAAGCTGCTGGTGTGCCATGACTGCAAGGGCGGCTACTTGGAGGACAAGTTTCCACAGGGATGCAGCTGCGAGGAGCCCTTTCAATTTTGGCACTGGCAGTGCACGGACGTGTTTGTGTACTTCAGCCACCACATGGTGACCATCCCCCCTGTGGGCTGGATCAATGCTGGGCATCGACACGGCACAAAGGTAGTTGCTTGTGACGATTTGTGAAATTGCCATGATCCAACCCATGTTTCAGCTGTGGTCGATGTTGTTTACAACATGTACAATTTGTCCACAAGGTGCACAAAGCCCACCTGGGCTAACATTGCAGGTGTGCAGGGAGAAGCATTTTCACGTTTATTTGCTTCTGACTGCATCAGTCATGGATCTGTTTGTCATATTGTTTGTGCGGAATTGCGGGGCATTAATGAATGGCAGATGGCAGCCATTCAATGGTGCCATGGAGCAGATGCATTATCGCATTCTCGTGGTTTGTCATCGCCAAACAGGATGCTTTTGTGAAACAGCAACCAGACTCTTGCACAATCTGTAAGTGGCGTTAGTGATGTCCAACCCGGTATCAGAATGGACTTTCTAGCCAATATGTTGTTTTCTCCTGGCGCAGGTGCTGGGGACGTTCTGCGTTGAGTGGTCAGAGGGCTCCCAGCAGTGCGCTGAGTTCCTCGATGGGGGAAAGGTCCAGGCCGCATTGGTCAAACAGCTCACAAGCATTGCAGCACACTTTGGCTTCGACGGCTGGCTGTTGAATTTCGAGGTGGAGCTGGACCGCAAGAAACACATTCCACAGCTGATCGCATTTGTGAAGGAGCTGACGAGACAAATGCAAGAGATGTGCCCTTTGTCTTTAGTCATATGGTGAGCATTGCCTGGAAAGGGTATGCTGAGAAGCACATTTTGATGCGGTGGAAAAGAACCGAGGGCTTTACCAACTGTTGCAATAGTCACATCAGACACAACCTCGTCCCTATTTGTCTGGACCAAGCATTTGGTCCAGACAGATGGTGCCAAATGGTATCACAATATGAAAAATGACATCAGCATGTGTCAACTGACGTCATAATATCGGCAAATGATATCTAATGCACTTTCTTCTTCTGTGTGCATCGACAACGCACTAAAGCCAGTCCTGTCGGCAGAACCGTTGAGTGGCATGGGCGCAGGCATTGGTCCTTCGATGCTGGGAAGGAAGAATCTCGCAAGGAGCAGCATTTGTCATGCCTATTGATTATGAAACAGGACAGAAATTGGGACTTGTTGTGATGGAGAACTTGCTTAGATTGCGCCAATATCGTTCTTAGCATATTATGTGTGCTGAGGATGCCTCAGTATGCCTTACTGATGGCGGTGCCACACTGCGATCAGTACATTGCCGCTGCCTTTTGGTTACTCTATCGATATATATGCTCTGATGGACAGCAGCAGGGATCAGCCAATGGCTTCTCCATCCCATTTTATTGTCATGAAACTCTTACATGTTGTGTAATGCTAAAATTTTGTTCAAGACCACAGGTCATGTTGATTGCTGTTATTGTTATTATCAATTGTTGATATCTGTTTGTTTGGCTGTCGTAGCACAGCGCGGTGCTCCGTCTCTCGCAAATTCTCCAAAAAAGTCACGATGCAATTCCATATTTGTCGATATGCCCTTGTGTGCTGGCAAAAAAGCTTCACCACACTGCAAGAATGCTTGTTTTGAAGAAGTAATGTTTGTAGCTCTGTGTTAATGCGATTAGTCAATTGACTTGACTGATCGATTGATGGCGGTGCCAGTGGCACTGCATCAAGTGCAGATCCTTGGTCTTTGACTTTCTGCACGTTTTGAACGCACGTTCAGGCGAATGGTGGACAAGGGTCCTTGTCAGCAGTGGTCTGCTGCAAAAAATATCGCTCCGAATCCACAGCCACATCCCCGCCGCAATTCAAACATGGGAGAACCCTGATCCGAATTCAGCCAGCACATTCCAGCAACACTCAATTCATCAGCGAAAACCCACCAATTCCCACGGTGCCTGGCCATCACCAAACAGCGTCGAATTGCTGGCGACCACACTTGCTGAAGTACGTCTGTACTTTGCAAGCAGCAGAAGTGCGCAGCAATTGCTTCATTTCTGTGATGCGACAACGCAATGTTGGTATGGAACTTGTTGAACATCGTAACATAGTTGCGCACTTCATTCAGCGTTGATGACCCCATTTCAACCCATAGGCCTCGCGCACATTGATGAGCGACAACATTGGTTTCTGTGTCAAAGAACTTGACTTCAATAATAATGAATGAATATAATATGAGTTTAGTATAGTAAATGAATTCAATGGATTCATTTAAAAGTGTCAGAGCATCGCAGGTACGACGCCGTGACGACGTACGGCCGCCTGAGGTGGCAAAACGCCGTGACGGCAAAGAATCAACCGTTCTTCGACGCCTGCAATGGCATCCTCCTGAACTACAGCTGGCGGCGTGGCTCGCTGCGCACCCAAGCATCCAGACGCGCGAGCAGACTGCAAGACGAGTACGTTGGCGTGGACGTCTGGGGTCGGAGCACCCGAGCGTATGGCGAGGGGTATGCCTGTGTGGCGGGCGTTGCCCATGCCAAGGCTTCGGGCCGGTCTTGTGGGCTCTTTGCACCGGCGTGGGTGTACGAGGTTGGTGAGACCAGGGCCTGGGAGAAGAGGAATGGGGCGTTTTGGGCTTCGGTGGGTGGCCGCACATTTTGTACACCTTCTAGCTCTTGCCATTATCAGTTTTTTAATTGTTTTTTTTTCTTTCTAGATTTGTGTATCTCGCCGCATCTGAGAACGCGGAATGGAGAGACAGAGATCCGCTGCGTAAGCTGGGACAATAGCTGCTTTTACCTCAGCAGAGGACCAGCGCCCTACGAACGTGCTCGGAAGGAGTCTGAACGCTTCACAGAATTTTGCCCATTTCGAAACTGTGCGCTGGGCTGTCCCAGTATGTACTGTGCACGAAAGCGGCGCCGATAACAGTGTCAAGATAGCACGCACTCAAAGCGCGGAACATTCGCAGTGTTTTCAATATTTAGTTTGGTTTAAGCATGTTTTGCAGTAATTTCCACACCAAATAGGACAGTTAATTTTTGTTATAGTCCAATTCCTCTGTCCCATATTACATGTCCTCTATTTTAGCGCATTATTTTTCCATCAAATGAACTTCTTTTCCACAAATTTCGTCCGAAGTTATGCTTTTGAATTTGGGTTGTGCGGTCCAAACACCAAGTCAATTCGCTGAAAACCATGGCTGTGGCAGAGATTTGTAGCAAGGGCCCTCTGCCTCGTAAACTTGGAAGTTTTCGCTCAACAGCGACCGAATTTTGTTTTTCGCCCAAAGCCCAAAGTGTCGTTGCTCACTCTTTCCTCTTGGAAATCGGTAGTTAAGGGTTGTGGCACCAAACCTCTCCAATCCTTACCTTCTTTTGTAAATTTTAGGCTGCCCCCTTAACGCTTTTTGTCTTTCAGTAGAGGACATTTAATATGGGATGGATCAAGTATATTTGATGTTCTGCAACAGCATAGCTACCATATAGAATGGAATGAGTGATTTGCGGCAATTTGGCACAGTTGACATGAGAAACAGAAGTGCACAAAGACGTCGACATTTCCTTAGTGATCGCCACCGCGTTTTGGGCAGGAACAATTGTGGAAATCCACCATGTGGAAATTTGGAAACTGGAAGTTTCGCCAATAATTGAAGTAAATGTAATGCAGTGCACAAACAATGCCACATCATGTGACACTAAGTCGATAAAATTACCTGGTCACCAGAATTTAGAAGCCCATCAAACGCCGGGAGATGTTGCCATGCCTGTCAGCGCCTTTCAGATGCGCGTGTCGCGCCACTGCCTTTAGACAAGGTGGGGCCCCAGATTTTGCCAGCAATAATGATCTAGGAGCCATTTCTCTCTGGGCGAGCCTCGGCTCAAGAACAATCGCCTCATGGATGCATCTGGCCTGTATGAGGGAATTCTACCACCAGCAATGGCAACCTCCAGGCCGCCTGAAAGGACGTGGCAGTGCTGAATCCCACGGCGTTTCTCTCAACACGGACATGCGCTGTTGACGATACTGGATCAGATCTACTGCACATTTTTGGGACACCTATGCACGAATGCACTGCTCGACGCGCGTTCTTATGTCGAAATGCGACAAATGAATCGAACTTGCACTGGTGCGGACAAGATTTGCTACAAAGATGTAGAGGGACAGACCGCGGAAGGCAGCCCTCCAAAGCAGATATATGTGAGATCCTTTTCCATGCTGCCACAATATGACGTAGAGTCTCTGGTGCCAAAAGATGTGGACTCAACACAAGCAACACAAAAGACAAGAAAACATGCACTCAGGGGACACGTTGTTGCGTGTGTACGCTGAGAGGTGTCAATTGTCGCGTCAACACAATCTAAATGTGCCGAGCGGAAGTAATTTTTGAATTGAAATGCATCATTACAGGCTGAGACTTATCTTGCTCTGCTGTACTCTCTCAGGTGATGAGCGCGTGGGGATGCCACGCAGTGGTCACGAGCCTCCCCTTCTACAGCAGTTTCAACTTGGGCGGCGGTGCGGCCATGCACATTTCGGGGAGTGTGGTCAGCCCGCACCCTTGGTACAATGTATCATGCCAAAACATCCAACCCTCCTCGCTGAGGGTGCTTGTCGGGCGAGACGGTGCAAGTCGATGGGATAACGGCCTCACCCAACGTCACACCTGCCAGTTTGCCTACAACGGTGGCTCGTGCCTTGTTCTGGGGGGTAATCTATGTGGTGGGCAGATGGCATGGTGCCCTCTTTTTGATGCGGACATTCCTGTCGCTGCAGGCAAGGTAAAAGTCCGCTTTCTGCCCTCCACCGCACCACTCGCCGTGATCTGTTCAGCTCTGCATCGCGACTCTGACTTGAAGATGACTGTTGTAGTAGAATGCCACAAATGCCTCCATGAACCTGGGTATTGTGTCGCCGTGTACCTTCTTGGCAGGACTCCTCCCTAGCAACCATTGCCAGTATCCTTCGCTCAGTTGGTGTTGCGTGATTGCTGCACTGTTTGTGTGCCTGGAGATGGGATACTTTCGAAACAAGAGCGCGGAAAATGCGAGGTGCCTCAATGAGCCGTGTTGTGAAGATCTGTGCCATTTTGCATTTTGTGCCCGCATTCAAGGGCCTCAGTGTTTCGCATTTTGCCACTTGGAATGCAACTGTGATTTCAGATATTTCGCATTGGCGAGTCGAATCCAACCCAGCAGATATTCGCATCAGAAGAGTGCAGCTAAAGTGGCCGCCACGTCACGTAACGGTGTTGCCCCCTCCTCAAGTTTGCTTCTTGTTGGGCCTCAAGGCATTGAGGCGACTGGGAACTTGCATGTGCAGGCACAAATGCAATGCCTTCCAAGGTGTAGAACGAACATGTGCAATTGAGCAATCACCTTCTGGTATCGCGGGGCGGTGGTACATTGCAGATGCACGATGTCTGGGGCTCACAAAATTGCAAGCAAGGGTCGAGATTGTGCCAACAGGCAGTTTGATGCTGGTGACTGCCTCATAGGTCAATGCATTTTTGACATACAAAGCTCTGGAGTCGTGCTCAGCGCAGCTGGTGCTAGTGTGCGAAGACAGTTCGCCACCCGACGGCAGCCTGAGCCCACGGCGTCGAGTAATTGTGTGCAGATCAAGGGGCGACCAAACGAATTCCAGCAATGCGGCTGCGGACGATCATGTAAGTGACAGGGGGGCAATGATGGATTACTAATTGCCGCAGGTGTCAATGGAAGCAAGTTGCAATCAAATGAGCGCCAATTGTTCTCGCATCTTCTTGGCCAATTTCGTCAGAAAACATAATAGGGTCTCTGCAGTCTTGAAGACCGAACTCGCGGAGTATTGAAGCCTCCAGTCCTGTGGCTGCTTTGTAATCGAATGTGCACTGGATTTGTAGCTGCATGTCTGCAAGATTTCTTTCACGTGCTTCGCAAAGCTTCTAGGAAGGATCTCTGCGGACTCTTCCACTTGCAAGATGTGTTGCACCCATGTACTAGAGGCCCTAGCAAAACGGGTATTGTAGGTACCTGCCTGTAGCTGCCTGCATACGATCACACAATTTCTTGGGTAACAATGTGTCATTGACGAAGGCAGGCAGGGTCGAGGGGTGGCGATCCCTGAATGGGGATTGTACGCTCGAGTCCACGGCAACGGTTTACAGCCGAGGCAGAAGGACAACAGACGTTCTGTCCTTTATACTCAGTCCGTTCATCAACATCCTTAATGCAATTTCTAGTGCTTCGTCATCTTTCATGCATTCAGTCATTAACAACACTCAATCAGTTCTAGCCGTAACATCATCTCTAATGATGCCCAGTGTCCACATTCTAGAGAGTGCGCATTGCCGTTGCTGCTGTAACCGATTGCAGAGTGCATGCAGGCTCAACATCAAATATTGCGTGTCATTTCCTCCTTCGTTGGGACATCTCCAAATGAGTACACGATCTGCAATCTTGTTCCATGACGCTGCCAGCGCTGTCCACCTGGGCAACACTGAATATGGATACGTGAAAGAGGTGCCATCCGTGTGCACAGGGTTATGTGTAGCGCGGTAAGTGCTACATCGTACAAATGGTCAGCCAGCTTGGCATTTACGCCGTGAACACAAATGGTATTTACGTTTATACACGCAAATATGCGTAAAATATGTAAATGCGACGTAAATACAGTCCCGTGGGAATAAGGACAGTACGTGCAGACTCACGGAGTCTGGGGAGTGGCAGCCAGACGCCCTAGAAGGGGCAGACAACGAGCTTTTGTTACAGGCCGTCGTTGCCCTTGCCGAGGGCGAGGTGGACACTGCGTTGTGGGTGCTGGAGATGGCGGAGGACTGATCATTGTACGCAACTTTCACCGGGTAACCTGGGTGTCCCAGCGAGCCGTAAAACTGAAAAAATAGCCATAAAAATAGCCCCTTTCGCAAATTTACATTTTTGCCTGTAAAACTATAAAGGTTGAAAACGTAAACGTAAACTTAAATAACAAGGCTGCAGTCAGCCATCTAGAGTATGCAATATTTCCACACAACCCTTGGTGCCACCCACAACCGCTGGTTCACACGCTGGCAGCACTGCAAGGGTGGGCAAACCCACAGCACAGAAAACATAACTGCAGAATGAAATGCGAAAGGCATAGCCTACAAATGGGCCAAGTTGGGTGCACAGTGCTCCGCATGAGGCTTCCAAACCAATCGATGGAATCGTGCATGCGCATCAGTTGTATTAAGGACATGGGAGACGACACTGCTGTAGTGCGCGACCGCAGGAGGTCTCATCCCTAGTCTGCGATGGCGCTGAAGTCTGGCGCTTCCTCTCAGCCGATTCTCAGAGCGAGGATGTGGAGCCGCTGGCATCTGGCGGAGAACGGGGAGCACATGGCCGCCCAGGTCGGGGGATTTTGTGTCGAGAATGGCATGGTGCATCGTCAATCTCTTCATTGCAGCTGCCAAAATGTTGCAGAGGGCTGTCGTAAAGCCTTCAAAGCACCGCCAGGCAAAATGCAGAGCATCGTGCTTTGCAGCTCTACGAAGACTTTCTTTCCAATGCTCACAGCCGGTCTACATTGGCATGTCGCACCCTTGGCGAATACATAGTTTGGCGTTCGCTTACAGAAGTTGCCCACTTTTCCTTGGTGTCGTATGGTTCAGAAGCGGTAGCTGGCTGAAATCGCTCACCCGTATTTGACCGCACGGCAAAATTACCGAAGACTGTGTAATTGCACCAGAGTTTTGAAGTAACGTTATAATCAGGGATGCACAAAAATGGAGCGAACGCTGTCAATGACAATTCCGCAAGGTGAGCGTCATTGATGGGTTTCTGTGGCTCTGTGCCCAGGGGAGTCGTGGCGAAGAGATCAGTACACGCTTGAAATGGGGAACCAAGTGCGCGTCATTCAGATTGGCGTCGCTGCATCGAATTTAAGGGATGAAGATTGTGCCGCGCAGAACATTTTATGCATTGGTGAGCTGCGGTGCAACTTGGAATCACCCTGCCTTTGCTGGACTCCGAGAATGGACAACGAACCCCGCCGGTGGAATTTGAAGCATGGGAATTGTACATTGTGAAAATTAGGTTCTGAGATCCTTGCGCTGAACTGTACTACAAGTTTAATGCTGAAAGAGCCCCTAGGGACCCCCATACCTCCCAACTCGATTATTTATTTAGCTAGTGTTCCAATTGCTTCATTTTGAAATGAGGGCTAGGACAGCATTGCATTTGCTAGAGAGGGTGTGTCCGAAGCGAATGCCATGTT